ACACACACACACACACACACACACACACACACACACACACACACACACACACACACACACACACATACATATATACATATATACACCACATATATGCATATTAAACTTTTGACCATCTTTCTAGATGGGTACGGTTTGTACATATACCATATACATAATTTTGTTGAGGAATGAATGAATATTAATAATAATTGTTCAACACTTTACTCAAACATAAGTAAAAAGGATTCTGATTTTTCGAGAATTCGTTTTATTCATCTTAAAAATATATAACATATTCTGGCATCTTTTTTTAATTAAATTTAAAACTTGTAAGGTTTAAATATATATTAAATTTGTCGATAATAGGTAGGTAGTAAAGAATATTAATATTCTTTTCCTTTGTTTATTTAGAATTATTGAGAGTGTTTTTTAGACTTGTAATTAGCACTTCTGACTGACTGTCCAGTTATACTTCTTGAAAATGAACATTGCTTTCTCTTTCCTTTTTTTTTAAGGATTACCGTCATGTTGGTCACATTTGTAACAAACTTCTTGTATATAAGACTGTAACATATGTGGATATTCCATCAATTGTTGTTATTATTATTATTTTGTTTTTGGATATGTTTATCAAAGATCTATCCTGCAGTTTTTTTAATTTCAGGGTGGAAGTGCGAATTTCAACTTCTATAATTTTGTTTTTCTTATCTTGAGTGTTTTTTGTTAATATGAAACATTTAGATTCGCTTTTCTAAAAAATCAAGTATTATATTCCGCGTCTAGAAAAGAAACTTTTCTATGTAGTATACAGTATTTAATATGCATCATTTCATAATCGATTTTTAATATTTATGTAATTTTAAATAACGTTTTAATTGATTTGAACACAAATTTCTCAGTTTTTTCAGAAATTTATCTTTATTCTTATTTGTATAAATTTTGTATTAATGGTAATCGTTCATCTGTAGTAAAATTGATTTTTGTTGCATGCGACAGGATCGAACCAGCTATGACGTAAACAGGATCCATCAGAATTGGTGTTCAACTACCAGGATCGCGATTTCAATTTCTATATCACGAGAAACTTTTTTACAGTCTAGATTGATTAAAACCTGCGCTCTTCGAAATCGGTCGACGAACAAACCAATTTTACGAATGCTCTGTATTGAAATAATTATTATACATTTTTCAATATTCAAATGAAAACTAAATATGCTAAGAAAAGGCCAAAGAAATGCATTTTTATAAACATTCTTTTAAACATCGTCTTTTTTTTATCTGCGTTTATGACCACATGTTTGTTTATGATTTTTCTGTTTGTTTATTATTCATTAACATTTGCACACATTTCTATTTCATCTCGCGAAAATTATCCTGATGTAGGATAATTAATTCCATTGATTGATATGAATAATTATAAAATGGATTAATTCAAAGACTAAGCGATCTATTTTTGTACAGCTCGACTTGCAAAACATCCGAGTTGCAAAAGTTTTTGTAAATATATGTATTTTTTGTTGCTATTATTATAGTATTATTATTATTATTTCACCTCGTTAAAATATTGTTAAGGTAGAATAATTAGTTCTGTCAATTCGAATAATTGTAAGGTGGATCGACTAAAGATGCTGAGCGATCTTTTTGTACAGCTCTCGTCTCGCGCGAAGTGCCGAATTATAAATATATATTTTTGTAAATATATATTTTTTATTACCATTATTATAGTATTATTGTCATTATTTTAGGCGCGGATTCATTGTTTAATGAATTTGTGAGAGAAGAACGACTGCATTTTTTATATTTATGCGTTATTTTATTATTATCATCACATTATCATAATTATTATTATGTATCTTTGTAAATATGACCAAGGGTATGAAAATAAAAACTCATAATTAATGCCTTTATATTTTCCCCCTCTATATATATCTTAAAGAATAAAATAATATTCTTTATAAAGAAGAAATATTAGATCACTTATTTACATTGCTATCACTTTACCTACGCATGTAAAAATAACTCTTAGAAACAAGACAATTAAAAATTATTAAAAACTTAAAATTATTATCAGAAATTGTTTTGTGAAAATTTTCTGTTAACAATTAGTCAAAGAAATATTTAAACAATGGATAAATTCGAATCTGAGTTTCTTTTCAGTAAAAAGTAGTTTCTTTTCATAAAAATTTGTATATGTTTGTTAGATTTAAATTAATTTCGAAAATTTATACAGTTAAACTCTAAAAAGATATTAATAATTAAGAAAAAAGGAAGAAGGTCAAAAGGATTTTGTATGTAAGTTTTGTAATAATAATCGCTCGCACTGAAATCGGTATAATCGTATATAATTTCCAAATTGAGAGGTACTGCATTATCGCTTTACACACCGGGTAGTTGAAAATAATATACTACTTCATTTCGAATATATATATGTATGTATACATATGTATATGTATATGTACATACACACAAATATACATAATGTATGTACAAAGCACAGCGCAAATACTGTGTGTATATGTGTTTGTGTATGCGTCCACATACGTGATGCAATCATATTGCATATATAGACAAACCATGTAATATGCAGACAGATATATATATATATATAAATATATATATATATATATATATATATATATATATATATATATATATGTGTGTATATATATATAATAATAGTAATAATAAAATAATATATGAATAAACAATCTATATATATATTACAACACATTATCCATTGGGTTCGTTCACAATGATAGAAATCTTCTCTTTCACACGCACACGCATCCTCTCTCTCGCCGTGTATATATAATTTACAAGCGTGATATTGCGTGTCATTATATATATACTCTCTTCTTTTTTTCTTCGTTCTCCGTTACGCACATAATCGATATAAACTACGTTTATTATATATATTATACAACTTTGGAGGAATGTGTGTGTGTGATGGCGGCGATTAGCACCAAAACGTTCATTCAACTAATTCTTCTTCTTCGTCATCGTCGTCATCGTCGTCGTCGTCGTCGTTCTTTGTCAATTAATCAACTAATTAACCAGTTAATCGTGAGAAACTGCGCGATGGCATGGCACTCTTTACACGAAGTAAATATAACTGCAATTGTGTATACGTGTGGATGTGTCTGTTGTGTCAAACAACCGTCGCTTATCTCTATATATTTATACATATAATTTTTTTTCCTTTCCTCGAGGAAAGAATTTTTCTCTCCTGCGAGCAGAAACATTGTTAAAAATATGCATAATTAAAAATTCTTTTCAATATTAAAGATCTTCAAAGTTTTGGAAAAATTTTTACAAATATTTTATATATGTTCTTTAAGATGTAAGAAAAAATATACCCTATTTTTATATTACAAATAAAACAAGAAAGATAACAACGTCGGGCGTAATGTGCAGATTGAAACGAGTTTTTTTTTACTTGTGATTTCTCTCGTTTTTGTTCCTTCTTCGTGTCTTCTTCAGATTTTTCATTTCAATTCATCCACTTGCGACAATTCGGAGCGCCACAAGCGCATGCAATCTTATGCTGGTCGTCTTCTATATCAAATTTGTAATCGTATGCCAGCTGAAAAGCAATAAGTAACAGTCAGACATATAATATAGAAGTGATAATATAGAAGTGAATTTTTTACTATCTTATAATATCTATTGATTATAGAATTAATATAAATATTTCTTGATTACTTGAGTAATTATGTTATCTATTGTAGTATTTTTGCGATATCAAACGGATTTTTCTGCCATTAATGATAAAATGATAAAAATCTTGAACAGAAATTGTACAATACCTCTTCGCCACGCGAGATCCGACGCTTAGCAAAAATTATGATACGTAGATCACGTTCGACCTCGACAATCTCGGCGACGCAGTTAGGATTGCACGAGTGATTGATGTATCGGGCAAGGCCGCCGCACAGTGTCGCATCTACTACTCGCTCCTCATCCAGTCGAAACATGTAAATACCTCGATTCTGTAAGAGATAATATTAAATGTAATTTTAACGTAAGAAATCATACATCATGTAGAAATATTGTATACAGAAATCTGGCGAGAGAATCTTTGAAAATCTGATACCTTGTTAATAATCAACGGCATCGGATTATTTTTATGAAACATTTAAGCAATTTAACACGATCGCTATTATTATTTATCTGGGGAATTATCCGCCACTGATTACCCTACTTTTGATTTTTTCATGTAATAATAATAAAAAAACAGACTTAATTAGAGAGAAGACTGAGTTTGTTTCTCTGGACATAGAATGGGAAATTATCGCACTGTCGCACATATGTGATATTGCTGCTCTCTCATAAGAATCGATGCATCGTATATATGTAATAACGTGTGTAATAACATGGTAGCATGTTAAGAAAGATTTATAGAAACCACTTATTATTTTGCCCAAATATATTATAACACGTTATGATACGTACTCTAGCCTCATACTGCTTCTCCCGAGTTTCTGCTAACTCTGTCCTTATAATTTCTCCGATATACTCTATCACCATGGTGTGCTTTTCAAGATCGCGAGCGGCGTATAGACCCAGACCCTGAATCTTCGAGCGAGCCAAATAAACATTGTTCCGCCATTCCTGCTTCATTTTCTTGTACTGCGAGCTCTTGGAATGTACGAACTGTTTAGAATACGGACAGGCGACTTCGCCAGCAGCGAAAGCAGCCGCCGCCGCCGACGACGACGACGGCGCAAACGCCGTTGCCGCTGCCGCACGTGCCGACGAATGCGAGCCTGTACGCTGTGTGTGAGGTCGTTTCCATGGCAGTTGGTTACGTAATCGCGCCTCGGTACGAGCACTACCGGTTGGATTGATAGCTAATGGTAGTTCCAGCAGCGGATTGCGTCCGTACTTAAATCTGAAAATACAGAAAAAATTAAAATATTGAAAAAATAGGCTTTAATAATAAAAATTCTAACAATTTTGACACTAATACTTTTAACGTAATAAAGATTTGATTAATCAACATTCTCCTTCGGGAATAATTATTTTGAAACATAATTCTCGTCGATAAAATTTAAGAAACAATTCCGAAATGCTCTTACCTGTAATCAGTCAGAGTTTCAATTCCAGGTAGACTTTCTAGAACTCGCACTACAGCTGGTTCCGTTAAGCCGAATAGATCTTCTCCGGAGACATATCTTGGAAACAGCTGAACGGAATTTGTATTTCTCCTCAATTCCGCCAATGGCTCCAATATTCGACTCCAGACGGCGCGCGGAGTGGCGTCACGAAGTTCCACGTCTTCTTGGAGAGGTTCCTGAACCAGAACTCGAAACTCTGGCCGACCAGAGACGTCGTGGATCGAACAGACGTAGCGACAACGTTTATTGGGGCGTCGCATACTCCAGTAGAAACGTACAATCTTGTAGCCGACTGGATAGATATAATTGGCCGTATGAAAGTTCTGCAACTGATGCGGCAGCAATTGACCAACGCTGAGGAAGATCAGTGAACCGACACGCAACAAGTGGTTGTGCTCCGAATGGTGCATGACTGCGGCGACCTGGCGATTCTCGTCACGGTTCACATAGACGCGACGGTAGACGGATAGAGTAGTGAGTTCGTTGTCCTTTTCGTTCTTTTGCACGTGTTGCGAGCAGAAAGTACTCTGGAAAAACACGAAACAGTTAGTAGAATCTTTTTTTAGACTGCGTGTTTCTATTAGTGTAAATTTGTCCTTTTTTTTTAAATTCTCGTAGAAAGTTTGAGTATTAAAAGGAAAATAGGAAGTTCTCATTAGATGTTTAAAAAAAGTCGATTGTTAATTTTATTCGTAAATATTAATTTTTCAGAATGGAATAAAATTTCGTTTTTCCTATTTTATTTTACACAAACACGACAAATCTTTTGCTTAATTTAATATAAAAGAAGGATATAATTGTATTACCTTGTTCTTATAAAATACGCAACCATCTTTGACAGCACAACCAAGATGATAGACATTAGTGCACCGTGTTTTGAAGCACTTAACAGTGGCTCCGGGTTTCTCGCAGATAATGCAATTCAGCACGAGGCTATGCTGCAAAGCCGTGTCTAGATTTATCAAAGCTCCATTCACCGTCTCGTACACATCCTCGGCCCACAGCGCGCAGTTAAGATGCACCCACTTGTCCACGTCGAAATTTAATAATCGAGCTGGTCCGTCGGCCGTTCCGTCTCCTTGACTCTGACAAAACATGCAGCGACGACTATCCTCCGCCTTTGCGGGTACCACCGTCACTCCCATACGGAACAGCATCTGGAAAAGATTGAAACATTAATAATTAATATTAAGGATCTCAGATACTCAATCAGAATTTTCTAAATCAATAAGGTCATTCGTCGCAAAAGATAATAGCTACTAATAATAATTCGCGGGATAATAATAATGTTAATTAACTGAAAGGAATTTACTTTGCGTATATTTACATATGTGTATGTATAGAGAAGTATATGTTACTTAATATATAATGTATTAAGTATAAACTAAATATGCTATATATAATATTATTATATAAGAAATAAATAATCACACAACAAATCATGAATTTAAACGAGAACTGCTCCTTAAGCAACGAGATACGATATGCTCACCTCAGTGATTTCTCTGTCGGTGGTTTTCTTGAATTTAGTGGCTGGTTGTATCACTCCCATCGACCAGGTTTTATATTTCAAACCTCTCCAAACCTTCGCGGGTGGTTGCGGTTCCACGGCAGTCTCGTTCGATTCTTCGGGAATCGAGTGTTTCTTTGGCCTCTTCTCTTCCGTATCCATGTTCTCCGTCGCGATCTCCATATGATCTGGTTTTTCGGTCTTCACTTTGATTACGTCTGTTGCGGTTGTCGTGGTCGTCTCATTATCAATTTCCATATTCTCTACGCGTTGATCTATTGTTTGTTGTAGTTGTTGCTGCTTTATAGGTATCTTCTTTAGACTTTTCAAATCATCGTCCAGTATCTTCGTTTCCATTTTGTGGCACAAGTGATCCACTATCGCCGCAGCCTACGCATAATGATTTAAAAAGTGGATAAAATTTAATATGAAATATTAACATTTGATTTAAATAAAAAATATTGCTTTTTACTAACCTTGTCTTGTGTATTGGAAGGGGTGCGATGCATGAGAGCGAATTGCATGTAACAGGCGGCTGAACAGAAGCATAATTCGTCACCAGGTTCTGCCTCCTCTTTGCTCAAGAATGGCAGATCGGATACTTTCTTTCGGATCAAGCTATTTAGGATCACGACATCGCAATGACGACAAAACTTGGCTGCGCCGTTCAAGATGCTCTGTATGTCGATTGGAGCTGCAATCATATATTAATTGTAGCTAAGCGTAACAATTATTAATTTTAATACAATAATCTTGTCAAATCTTAATTATTTGTTAAATTTTTTCTTAAAACATTATATATTTTTTGCTGTTAGAAGTTCACAGCATAGTTTATTTTAATATTCAATATTTTTATACAAATTATAGTCCTAGATTGCTTAAATTTTTTCACTATAGCAAAATCTAGCTAAGAAGCAGCTATAAAGTACGGTTGTAGTTGTCAGTACCGGGAAAGTTAAATAATAATTGATATCATACCTCCTTCTTTGCCGTCCTTTCCTTTGGTCCTGTATAAACCTAATTTCTGACTAGGAGGAGTGGTGGTGCGTTCGACTATTTGATAGCCAGTGGGTGGAGCGATATTTAGAATATTCGCTAAATCTTTAAGTACACCCATTATATCGTCCGCAGCCTGACTGTTGAGAGTTAAAGTGACGGTGACATTTCCGCTTTCTCGCAGCGGGATCGGAGGAGACTTTCCAAGCCTAGAAACATATTCTATAATAAGTAATTGTATATGCAGTGCGCTATCTGAAGATTTGAGGGGTAATTTTTATTATTATATTATTATTACATTCATTTTATTGCATATATTATTAATTAATCAGTATACAAAAAGATATACGTACTTAGGTACCCCAAGATTCTCCTTATCCTGTTGAGCAACGTCCTTCGCGTAAGCTGGTTTTAGTCTAATCGGGATCGGAGAGATTAAGGGTATAACAGGTGACACACGCTTCAGCCAGTCCGCCTCTTCGTCCGACTCTTCTTCAATTAATCGTAGTCCGGGGAAACGATGCATAAACTCCGGTATAACGCATTCGGGCGAGGATGAACTCACTATGGTATCCGGAGAGTCCACGTCGCGGTTTGTCGCTATATTTTCTTTCTTTTCATCAGCTGAAAAAACAGAAAAATTGTACTTACAATATTATTTCCATTTTGTGAATATATTAATTAATGCCCAATAAAACTTTTTTTCTTTAGTTTGAAAATAAAATTGAAAAGAAACTATTTGCTAAACACTCACAGTCATCCAATTTGAGAGGCGGGAATTCCTGATCGTAGAAGCCTCTTTGCGTGGATGGTGGTTGCTGCGGCGGTAGAGGGTCGAGCTCGCCGAAGGGCTGTGTGTTATAATGATCAGATAACCCGGACAAATTGGCATTGCCATAACTGCCCGTTAAATCCCCAACTCTTGCGTTATAATCCCGCTGACTAGCGATCTTGGCGAGATCGCCGCAGCCATAAATCGGGCACACTCCGTAGTTACGACCGAGCAATGGTTCTAGCACCGCCATCGGTTGCAACTGACGCAGTTGCGCCATCACATTGTCCACGAATGTGTCGTAGTCCTCGTCCAAACGTGATACCTTGCGCGATCGTTTCTTCTGTGGTGCCGTCGCCGTGTCTTTGCCTTGGCTCTGCTTACGTTTCTGCTGGTATTGTCGTCTCTTTAGCTTCTTGAGATCTGAAAGTATCCACAATTTGAAGCGTTTTGTCGTGGTGTACATGTAGGACAGATTAAAATTTTTACACAATTGTAATAAAATAAATATAAGACATATAATAATAAATATAATATAGTATAAGCATAATATAATAATAAATATTCATAAAATATAATAATCAAGATAATAATAAACATTTATAAAAATAAATTCACCGGTCTTGTCGTCCATTGTGCCGTCCATGAGTTCTTCTTTGGTTGAAGCAAGAAAGTCTTTGGTATCGGTATGCAAATGGCTAGCGTTGGTCGGTGCAGCTTGAGCAGGCAGAATCACTTCATCAAGGCCCACTTCTTTCTTCACCTCGACTAAAGGCATAGCTGCTGCGGGGCCTGACGGTGCGACGGCTGTGACTGGCGACGGAATCGATATGTGGCCATGGGACAGACTGTGAGGCACTTGCTGAATGAGTTGTTGCTTAATAGTAATATTCGGTGAAGAGGATGATGCAGAGGAAGTCTGTTGCTGAGGGACGACTGGCTTTTGCGTTACTTGAAGGGTACTTGGAGGTTGCAGTCCTGGCGTCTGACCAACGGAAAGGCTACTGGCATTGCTAGCAGGCGGTGGAATGCTCTTCGAGGCTACCAGAGGTTTCTGCTGAGTAGCAGAAGCCCTTGAAACTGGGATGGTCATACGTTGCTGGACCGGCAGGCTTTCTTTCACTACTGCACACCCAACCTCTGGCTAATAATGATATATTTCATAAAAAATTGAGTTTTAAAATAAATTATCAATTTTTAACAAGTACATAATAAATAATTCAAGTGAAAATAATTGAATAACTTGTATTCAATTTAAGAGAAATTTAAACTTAATTTTGGAAGAAATTTTAATGACTCGTGCAATGAACTAATTATAGAAATTTTAATTTCAACTAAGTTTCATAATATAAATAAAAGTCTCACATCTATATATAAATAAGTATAAATCAGAGTCAAGAAGCGTTGGCAGGAACAGTTGTCAGTGCTCTAATCAATGAAATGTTCCCATTCTATCTCGGATATTCTTCAGTCAAAATACAGATAATACCTATCTGAGTTATCAAATATGCTATCATCACATGTATATTCACTGGGAAGAACTGAAGAGTTAGATCAGAAATATTTTACTATTTAAAAAATTAGAGAAAAATACGATTTCAAGATGTATGAATAACCGTGTCTATTAACTGTCAATTACAACCTTAATTTATATTTATTTAATCTTTTTCTAAAAACTAGTTAAATTTTGTTTTATCTATAAATGTTTTCATAACGCACACGCGTACACACTTAATAAATATAACTTTATCTTCACTATTTTTATCCTAGAAATTCTACAATGAATCTTATATATATATATATAAAATTTTAATATAATAAATATATCTAAAATTATATATGTGTGTAAGTTGAAAAATGTAAATTAACGTTTTTCACCGTATTACTGAAGCGATATCGAAAGAAGTATTAAGAATATAGTACCTCACAACTCTTCGGCGATGTTCTCGTTGTCGTCATCGTCGTCGTTATTATTGTCGACGATGATACAGCTGCGGCAACCGGTGGCTGTTGTTGATTTCCCGTTGAACTTCCGGAAGAGCTGGGAAGCGCTGCCTTTATCATCTGATTGACCTGCTGTTGCTGCTGCTGTTTCAAAGTATCAATCTGTCCTCTCTGCGTAGTCAACGACGTCGTCGTGGATAACGGGGGAGGAGGCTTGGGAGTCTCCTCTTTCGTGGGCGAGCTTTGAATCTTTATCGGTGTCATCGAATGCGAGGATAGGAAAGACGTTTCTCGCGCCAGTACTTGTTTATTAATTGCCGCCTTTGGTGTTGAGGTCTCATCCAACAGATTTGATCGAGACGATTGTGCGGGGGGGACGAGTGGCTGATGGTCCAGCTGAGCCGCCAGCGAATTCACTTTCGGCAAAGTGGGCCCTTGTACTTGGCCTTGCGTTTTGCCGTTAGGCGACGGTGTCGGGCAAGCAGTGCTCTGCAGCAGTTGCTTCAGTAACACATTTTGTGAATCATCGAATCTCAGGGGATGCGTGGAACTCTTGTCAGGATCTATTTCTCTTCCCGAAGTTTTCTCTAAAACCTTGCTGTCTTCGGTGTCTCTTTTCATGGTTGTAGATTGCTTTTCGAGATCATTGTTTTTATTGTCAATAGGCAGAAGAAGCGAAGACTTGTGTTGACTCTGATTACAAGTTAATAAGTGGCTTGGTGCTTGCGATAAAGTCGTCTGCAGGATGCTAGGAGTTGCTGACGGTGGCACGATAGTTCGTACGCACTGTACCGAACTAGTAACCGTCGAGCTGGTATTTATAAGCGCTCGCGAGGCCGCAGAGCTCACCTGTAGGATTGCCTGAAGACTGGTGGGCTGCGAACGCGGAATCGAGGTAGATGACAATACAGAGCTTAGCATATTGTCGGATTGAGTTGATGTAGTGCTGCTGCTGCAACCGTGATCTTCTGCTACAGACGATTTTATTGAACTCGTCTCGCCTAGCATGGCGTTCAACATAGCATTGGACGTGATGGAGATTGAGGTGGTGATGGTTCTGGTGGTCATAATTGATGGTGAAATAGTGCTCGTAGGATTCGAAGAGTTACTGGATTGAAGAGTGGTGGTTGGAGCAGTGGTGGTTACTCTGAACATCTGGTCAGCCTTGAATTAAAATTCATTTCTTTGCAATTGCAGAACGTATTATTTTTTCAATTAAAACAATTAGTAACTTTTTTATTTAAAGAATATATTTGATAATTACTTTTAAAAGCTAAAATAGTTAATATTATTAAAATTAATATCTATACAAATTTAAATATTATTGAAATACTTTTTATAATAAAATTTTTCATTATTAGTATTAAAATTTAGTAACGTTTTTTGTCAAATAAAATTACAATTCCTTTTAAATTCCAAATAAAGATTTTCGCATGTGCATAAAATTCTTTATATGATAGAAATTAAAAATTTTCTTATAAAATTAGAATTTATTTTAAAAATTTTCATTAAAATAAAAAAAATATTAAAAATTTTTTCAAGATTACAATCAAAATCTATTAAATTTACCGCAATTTCTCTTAATATTAAAATTAAATTTCTCATAATTATGCATTAGATTAGCTAAAATTCTTTCTACAAAATTAAAATTAATTGTATAGTGTGTACCTTGGAAATTGCAGAAGTTATCCTAGCAGACTCCTTAGGAGACTCTTTCAAAGTCAATTCCCCTTCCTTTACGACACTAGTGCTTACATTAGCTTGTGAGCGACTCTGATCAAGTCTCGACAAAGAAACATTACTGGTTGATGAGTTTGAAGTCGAGAGGCTCGTAGTAGACAATACATTGGCAGGCTTCATGGAGGAAACCATGGTGACAACATCGGTTTGATTCCCTGTCGGATGGGCAATAGAGGAGAGTAGTGTGCGCAACTGATGCGACACATGCACAACGTTGTTGGTAAGCTCGGTGGGCTTTGACAGAGGCGATAAATGCGGTACTGTCGTTGTGCTTTTTTGCAACTGCACCACTGCCTGATTTGGTGCCGGCGGGCTTTTCTTCACCTCAGAATTCAGATTCTTCGCCTGACTTTTATTCTCCTGCGTGGACAGTTGATCGTTCTCCAGGCTCTCTTGATCTAAATCCATCAGCGGATCTTGCAGAATGTTCAACGGTAACGTATCGAGCGGAGAAGGCATTTGATATATTAAACTCGACTTCAGCTCGCTGGTATTCGCCATCTCCGGTTTCGACGAGATAATATTGTGCAACATATCGAGAATATCGTCCGAAGATTCCTCCATTAGAGTCTTCTCTTCGTTCAAGCAATGCTGGAGGTACGGTTTTGCATTCTCCAACTCTAGTTCTTCGGCAATTTTCTCCTTCGGCGACATATTTTTCGCGTTATTGCTTTCTTCAAGATCACCTTCGACCTCTTTCGCTTTGCTCATAATCTTTTGCGTGTCAGAGCTTGAAGAATTCTCTTCTTTATCATTATCCACAGGCTCAACGTCATTCTCCAGAATATTAACGAGCGACAGATCATCGGCAACAGGCGACATTCTTTTTAAAGTTGCCGTTGTGGTAGTCTCATTCTTATTCTCGTCCTTTAAGGTAGTTTCCGCCGGATTGTGGATCGCCTCCAGCATGCTCTCTAACTCGTCCGTCGTATTCAAGGGATCACTCATCTTCTCTTCTGTCAACGAAGTCGAAAGAATAGCTGAAGAGATACTTTGATCTTTGACTCTTGTTTGTACGAATTCCTCTTCCTCCGTCTTTTTTTTCATCTCGCTTTCTTGACTTTCCACTTGTCTTTCCATCATCTTTAGAGTGCTCTCTTTCTTCGACAAATCTGTCATCTTTGGAGTCGACAATGTTAAAGAAGTTGATTGAATATTTAAAACTAATTTTGTAGAATTATTCAAAGTCTCTATACTTGTGGAGCCTGGAAATTCATTCTGAACACTGGAAGTCGTCGTTAGAGATGACATCTTTAGAGTTTCGCTAATTTTTGGATCTGGTTTGCCTTGTTGAGAATTCGATGTATTCTCTAAAGCAGTTTGACTGAGCCTCGCGGCGAGCTTGGCATCCGCCACGATACTAGCCATTGTTGATGGCAAATTAATGCCTTTTTGATCACTGAAAGAGTTTAATAGTATATCCCGATTCGTTGTATTCGTTTCCGTTGCGATGGTTTGAGCCAAAACTTGAGCATGGGAACCAGCATGGGAACTAGAAACCAATTTTGTATTTAGAATCGAAGAGATTGTAGTAGTTGCTGAAGAAACTGGAGATCTAGAAGTCGTCGCAACGCTAATATTTGTCTGATGAATAGTTGAAGGCATAGTTTGATTGTAGGAACCCTTTTCTGGGAAAACGAAGCTCGTTAAACTCTTACCCTGTTTGGAATCTTTCTGTAAAGATTTAGTCTGATCGTCTATCAAGCTTTCAACAGTCGTACTGTCCTTAGATACGTCAGTTAGAAGATTAACATCTGTTTTCTCAGTATCTTCATCACAGGAACCTTTAGAGAGGTTATCCTCAGGCGATTTTGTCGTGGGATCAATAATAACCACCTCAGATTCACTTACAAGAGATACCATGAGATCTTGATCAGGAGAATTGTCTAGATAAGGTCCTGGCGAAGGGTCCACTCTGAGTTCCTCTTGATCTGGAGACTCCGAGGTATCAGTGACAGCCACCAACTTCTTTCCCGCTTGTAAAGTCCTCACTATATCCAGCCGGAGACCTTTCTTGTTTCTTGTATTAGATGGGACCAAATCGTCGTCGCTGAGAATCGGTTCCTCTGATTGAGATTCTGGGTTCTCAATCTCTAAGATCTGCACTAAGTCACCTTGTCCGCCATCAGCATTCACTAGTGCATGACAGAGCGAGTCGTTGCTGTCCGCTGAAAGATCTACCACCATTCCAGGCTCGAAGAGAACATATTCCTCCTGCATGTCACCCTCTAGACTGCTCGAGATGACGTCTACCAGCTCGGAGTCACCAAACTGTTCGATCACTGTGATGTCGTCACTGTCACGTTGCGCTGCCGAACTCAACGTCACTTCGGTGTTTACTATAGTTTTATCGTCGTCGTAATCGGTAGTATCCGCAAGCTGGTCCAACTTCTCACCGGGACTGTCAAGTGGACCGTTGTCTAGAGTTGAAGAGGTCAAGGAACTAGATTGACTTCCTTGTTTCGTATCCAAACCTGTCGGTGGCGTCTGCGGCGGTGTATGCGAATCATCGTCGAAGTCGTTATAGTCGGCACATACGAGCGAGCCGATCTTCGTCGTTTTCCGAAGCACAGAAGTGTGCGGTTTCTCTTCCTGGGATGTGTCCGAACCCGTGCCAGTGCCGCTACTTTTGCTGCTTTCTGCTGCTTTGCTCGACCACATAGGCGAGCCACCTCTCAAACCCAACTTAAAAAAGCCAAACCTACCGAAGTTCGGAAACGGTATAGGATTTAATGGATTACGAGTATTTCCTCCGCCCTTAGTAGAATTCACAGATGGTATTGGATTCAGAGGATTGTTTGGATTTCCTCCAGCTCGAGCAGAATTTGAAGATGATACTGGGTTTAGAGAATTATTAGGGTTTCCTCCACCTCTAGTAGGATTCGGAGACGGCACTGGATTTAGAGGATTGTGGGGATTCCCATTTCTGGCGACATGTTCCGATGAGGAAATTTGCTCCTGAGAGACTTGTTGAAGAATTTGTTGTTGATCACTCGCCACCAAATTAGTGCCTTGAACGAAACTGTGGGGTGTATGAGGTGTTCTCGGAGTTGGAGGATTCTCCACGCTCTGAGGTCTATCAGGCATTGCCGGGCTATTACCGGTAGATTGTCTTCGCTGCATTTGCATAGGCGAACCAGCTATCAATGGGCTACGAGGCATCATAGGTGAGCTAGGTGGCTGATTGGTCGTTGAAGAAGGATGATGGCCACCGTGAAGCATTGGTGAAGTAGAGGGATGACTTCTAGACATCGGACTGGGTGGTTGATACTGCGACACCATCGGTGAGATTCGGTTCATTGGACTAGGTGGTTGTGAGGTTGGATTCAACGATTGTTGCAGCATCGGTGAACCCATTGTCGTTTGTACCATGGGTGAGCTCGGCGGTTGGCCGTAACCTTGTTGGAGAAGCTGAGGACTAGGAGAATTAGCCGGCTGAGATACCATTGGTGAGCTGGGCGGCTTCTGTTGTTGCTGTTGCTGCATTTGCAAATATTGTTGTCGTTGTTGTTGTTGTTGCTGCTGCTGCTGCAATATCTGTTGTCGTTGTTGTGCTATTTGTAATGTTCTCTGATTGATAGCATTCTGTCCTTCTTGAGAAACAACTTGGGAAATACCCTCATGCTGTTGTTGTTGGAGCATCTGTTGACGTTGTTGGACCATTTGTAATGTTCTTTGGGTAACAACGTTCTGTCCATCTTGGGAGAGATTTTCATGTTGTTGTTGCTGTTGTTGAAGCATTTGCTGTCGTTGTTGAACCATTTGCAGAGTCCTTTGAGTAACGACATTTTGTCCGTCTTGAGAAATAGCTTGCGAAATGTTTTCGTGTTGTTGTTGATGAATCTGTTGTCGTTGTTGAACCATTTGTAATGTCCTCTGAGTAACAACGTTCTGTCCATCTTGAGAGATATTTTCATGTTGTTGTTGTTGTTGTTGAAGCATTTGCTGTCGTTGTTGAACCATTTGCAGCGTTCTTTGAGTAACGACGTTAGGTCCATCTTGAGAAATAGCTTCATGCTGCTGTTGTTGGAGAAGCTGTTGCCGTTGTTGTACCATTTGCAACGATCTCTGAGTGATAGAACTTGTCCCATCTTGAGGAATAACGTCATGTTGTTGTTGCTGTTGTTGGAGCATTTGTTGTCGTTGTTGAGCCAATTGAAGCGTTCTTTGTGTGACAACATTTTGCCCATCTTGAGAAATAACCTCATGTTGTTGCTGAATCAACTGTTGTCTCTGCAGCAATTGCGGTTGTTGACCCAACAAACTAGCTTGTTGCGTCGTTGGCTGCGGACTACCCAACGGCGAACGTTGTCCGTAAACGGGCATGCCTCCCGCTACTGCCCGTGGTGGTACGCGCTGTTGACCAGCAGTTTCGCTCATTACCATCGTACCACCGCCGCCACTGGCTGGTCGTGCGAATCGTTGTTGTGGTTGTTGAACACGTACCGCATCCGCTACCGTAAACGCCCCTGCTGGACTACCGCTCGCCGCAGCCAGTCGACCGCTAATAAGTGCACGATGTTGCGGTGATGTCATCCGCGCCACGGCTACGGCAGGCCCACACAACCCTCCCGGCGACGGCAGCGCACCGCTTTGCGGACTAAACGGACTATCTTCGCCGCCTTGCGAGTGTGGTGTGCCGATTCGCGGCGATTGTTGTTGCACATTGTGAGGCGACATAGTGCCCGGGTTGGTCGATTGGGGATTTCCTGGGCTATGCTGAAGCAATGTAGCGCCAGGACTATGTTGTACGATGGAGGGAGTTGCTGGCGAATGTTGAATTATGCTGGCACCTGGAGACTGACTGACTAACGCAGCAGGCGAGTGCATCGGCGAGTGCTGTGACGGCGACATGAGCGGTGAACAAGGCTCTGGGTTGTTTGATTGCGAGACCTGCGACGTCGACGTTTGCCGTTGTTGTTGCTTGTTATGATACTCTTGGGTCAACAGATTATGCTGGCGCAACTGTTTTCGCGACGTTTCCAAGTGTTTCTGCATGAACGTTTGCTCCGTTGAAACACGAGTCAATTCCACTGAGTCGGTCTCCGAGAGATCATTGCCGGTCTTACGTAACTGACGTTGTTTACTGGTGAGAGACTATAAGAAAATTTACTTAGTTTCATTAAATTGAAAAAAAAAAATGATTTCTTAAACATTGGATTTATTTAATTTGGTTAAATTTAATATACTCTTTGATCTTAAATTAATTCAATTTTATATTTACCTTTTTCAATTTACGAATCTTTTGAATTTCAGATTCATAAAACTTCAATTGCTGTGTCAATACAGAATGCTGATTGGTTAGCCAATGATCGTATTGCATATGCGCCTGTCGATCTTGCTCGTTTAGGATAATTTCCGGTGGCGTTGGTGGTGCTGGTATAAGGGGGATATTGAAGGTATTCAATCTCGCTGTAAAATAAACGTAATCATTTTAATTAAACAACATTTGTTATAGTAAAGCAAAAATAACAATGATTTAAAATATGGAATTTCAAATAAAGAAATAATTTATCTCTCTATACTAACATTCAGGCGGAGTCTGCGTGGCGATAGGTTGTCTAGGCACTTGAGTGGTCGCTAATTTAGCCGAATCGGGTACACCAGTTTGCTGCCAACCGGTACCAGGCACTGATGGAGGTCTAGTCGTGCAGGGTGGTCTGATCACTGGTACACCCGCTGCGGGTACCATGGCCTGAGGTGGCGATGACGCTCCCAAAACGTCAGCTCTGAGTCTCTCAAAGTCGCTGTCACTCAGAAGACCACCACTGCTAGAGGTAGTGTTCTCCGTTTGTTGTTGTTGCTGTTGTTGCTGCTGTTGCTTCTCTTGCTCACGTTTCTCCTGCTCCAGTAGCTCCTCCAGCAATAGCGGCTGCTCCTGTGAACATAACTGCTGACAGTCAAGCTCGCTTCTGAATACATGAGATAATAAGTCATGGGGCTGTTTTGGATATGAAATCAGGGATATAAAATGGATTTAAATTGAAGAGTGAGAGATAAGATTGTCGAGATTAAAGGAATGTAGTATTCGTAAGGATAAGTAAACCAACGGCACTAATGCAAAGTATTGTAATTGCATTTTTTGATATTTTATTACCGAAATTCTCAAATTGCCCAAAACAAATTGCAAATTCATAAAACAGAGATTCTCTATTTAATTAATATTTTACTTTTTTATTTTAAATGATAAAAACTATAAATGATGACTATAATAATAAAAAATTAGATAATTTTGTAAAAATTAGTAATAAAATACTTTTTTTCATCGTTGTCGAATGTGGAGTGAAACGTGCCTGTCGATTGGATTGGGATTTATTGGAGTCTCCTGAAAAATTATTAAACAATGTATATTATTTGACAAGTATAATACACGTAATTTAAGAGTTAAATAATCGTTTAACAATTGTGAGGACGTTGATATAATTGTAAGACTCCAAGGACTCTGGAATCGGAGAATTTGAGAATCTTTTAAGAATATCCTGGAACTTTTTAAGGTTTCTAAAGAACTGAGGTTCCTTGTTACTAATATTTATTAACTGAGGGACTTTTAAGATTCTCTAAGAATTTTTCAAAATCCTAGAGGAATCTATAAAAATTCGTGAGGAAACCATATTTCTAGAAAATCGGGTTGTCTTTATTCTCTATTACGAATTAAAGATATATGGAATCTAGGTAAATCTATAAACTCTCACGCACCGTTCGCACACGCGCGAATAACACACGCACACATCACACATATACGCGCACGCACACACATGCAGTACAAGGATTTTAGACACTGAGACATTTTATAAAAAAAAGCAATGCTTAGGATTACAAAAAAAGGGACAAAGAATTAAATAAGTTATTCACATCATTAATCAAATCAAGATCGTGCAAATACGCATGCATACGTCTAAAAGTGCATATCAATGATAAATTAATTATAAAGAACATAAGTGCATCTCTCTTAGATGCAGGGTGTGTTACAGTTTTCCTATATTCTTACAATAAGATATTCGAGTACACAGTACGAAATTTAGAAGCAATTTTCCTCAATTTAATACTCAATCGAATATAATTCTCAAATTTCTAACGAGGCTAACTTTTCATCAGATTTTGTAGGCGCATTTCTTTATCGTAGCATGTAGAATATTATATCGCATATTATATACATATCTTATGTTATTGAATAAGCAAAGAATCCAGAAAATAATATGGGTTAATGAAACCAATATTTTTCATTAAATGATATAAAAATAAAAAATGGCAAAACTATGATCCATCAAAATTAGAAATCGCGATTTCTATTGCGCGCAATTTTCAACTTTGAAGAGTCATAGCATTGTCACTTTTAAACTTATTTTTAATTTTATTTTTATTCTAATCATGACCGTTAGTCATATTTAAGTTATACTATTTGTTTCATCTCTTATCTTCTGTATTGGCTTGTTCAATAACATCCTGTATATTATTGCAGATATAATATATCTGTCCTTTAAATAGAGAAGTGTTTTGCTAGAGGATTCTCCTGTGAATGAGGTATCAAAGAGCTACGTTCTCATTTTCCTGATGCGAGGGAGAAGGTAAGTCATGTTGGAAACTGCCCCGAATCTCGCTCACCTGCAGAAGCAAGGGTCTCCGGTGAGGGTGCGGTGGTGCACCGGTGTGAACCGCGGGGCACATCGGCGGGCCCGCCGCCGCCACCGGCACTTGCTGGTGCCCCATATGGACCACCGGCGGGGGCCGCGTCATAGCCCGCCCGCCACCACCACCTAGGCACAGCCCCATCTAGACATGCGCCAACACCAAATGCATATTGCAAACACACCCAGGCCAAGGACACCAGCCAGTATTCTTACAATACAACTATTCTTTCAGCGCCATTTTTACGCACTTTACAGATTGATAGTAATCTCTAATTAAATCGAGAGATTAATTCAAATTTGATCAAAGTAAAAATACACAAATACGTTTTATACGAGCAATTAAATTAATATATTTTTAAGATTTTGAAGGAGAAATAGGGATTTCTCTTATTTAAAATTATTTCAAACATATACTGAAATTTCTCTTTGATGACATTTCAAGAGATCCAGTAAAATTTTCAAAAAGATCTCAAACTTTTATACAATGACAAGTTGTTTAATAAGTATAATTTAATAAATAAGTTAATACAATAGTTTTTCAACCCATCTTAACAGATAGAGAATCATATTATCTTATTATAAGAAAGCGCATTTTTTGGCTCTGAGGGGGTAAGATTCGTTATTTAGCTACACTTACGTTAGCAAACTTTAATAACCTAACCTCCGATTACGTTAACTTATTTATTGTTATGTTTATATGCAATTTGTGTAAATGCAATTAAATTTAAATTTTATTGAATAACTCGACAATTCTTAAATTGAAGTATAAATAATTATCATGTTCTAGTAAATTTCAAGTTTTTAACAGATAATATAATCAAAAAGTTTACGTAAAAATAGTTTTTACAGCGTAATCTACAAGAACACCTATGTATAATCTTAAAATTGCAATCTAAAAATAAAACTACGCAAGATTACCGTATACTCGATATTGCAGCCGCGCAAAATATTTCTGAAATAAATTCAGCAAAACTAACTGACACAGAAATATCGTACATGCAATTGCGAGACATCTTATTAGTTAAGTATACATTATAAAACGCTTGCAAACCGTGTTATTGTAATTAAATGTAAGTTATCAGAATGGAGTTTTGCATTTTAGCATCGCGTCTCTCATCAGAGGATTATAAGTTTATTAAACAATTTAATATATATAAGTATTTACACTTATAATTATTACTAATTTGTAAAAATTTTTATGTTCAATAGAAATGATTTCTATAATTGTTATTTTTCAATAATAACTGAATAAATAAAAGATAAAATAAATTTGGGAAATAATATAAAATTTCTTATAAATTATCCCTATAAAAATTTACATCCATTGTAAAATTACCTATAAATTTTCTAGAAATATTTGTTATTTAACCTATCTCTCTTTCTTATTTAATTTATTAATTAAATCTTCTCTCAAGGATATACTAAATATCGAAGCGATGCATACAAATTTCAAGGGAAGCTATTGTAAATTGGTGAAACGAAACTTACCTGAATCGGTCCAGGATACGGAGGTGGAGGTCCTGGATATGGAGGTGGTGGCGGAGGCGGCGGTGGAGCCAAAGGCATTCGAGGCCCGATTATGTGATTCACGGCGACAACTCTACCCGCTACATTAGGTACACCCGGTACTCGCATGCCGAGACGTTGTTGTTGCGATACTGCAAACACAAAACATGTATAGAAAGTATAGAAAACGTTACGGTGAAAATAAATAATTCAGTATATTAACTATATAATAAATATGATCGTTTTAATTATTATAACATGAATTTGATTATAGTGTCTAAAATTTAATTTACATACATATCATTGATAATATCAATTAATTTAATCGTGTTACCTTGAATGTGCGCCGGCGAGATTCTTTGTGGATGTCCTGGGAAGCTGGATGGATAACTGACCGTTACCGTATTGGTAGAAGTCACCACTCCGACCACTCCGTCCGATGACACCAGTCTCGTCCCCGGTAGTATCGGCCTACCCAACGCTGCTGCCTGCTGTACGTGCTGGTGCAACTGTTGTTGCATTACCTGCGCCTGCATTGCTGTCGGGTTTGGTTGTGAAGCAGGCTGTGATGACGTCATTGATGGTACATTGGTGCCTTCCGTCAGTGTTGTCAACGTCGTACTTGTCGAGCATGAATCGGCTATTTCAGCCGGACCAGTCGGTAGATGATCCGGTTTTTGCTCCTCGTCCTTGGTTTCCTTCTTCTGTTTCTCTTCCTTCGGTTCTACCTCCACCTGCTCCAGATCCAAGTCTAGAATGTTGGTTTTCTCGCCGCCTGCGATCGTATCTAACTCAGGATCTGCATATTCTAGGATATTGAAGTCCGCTCCCATTTCAGCTGCACATATTGAAATTAATATCGAATTATATATTTGCTTATGTAATGTACATTTTACGTAACAACAGAATTTATATATGTGTGTGTATATATATCATGTAATAATTTATATCAATAATGTATATTACTTTTATTATATAATGTATTCACATTTCTTCTATTGATAGTTTAATTATACGGAAACTTACCAAGCAGCTCGTCGTCATCGTCGGCTAAATCACCAAATATTGCATTGACACCTTCGGCCACCTCGACCATCGGTGAAGCACCTCCTTCTTGTTCCAACTTTTCCAATTCAGCTGTAACGTTGTCAGGAATCTCAGATGAGGCTTCCGAAGTAGTAGTCTCACCTATAGTTGTAGGTAATGTTGTTCGAACTATATTCTGAGCGCCCAACATGCGAATTCCTTGACTCAGGCTCTCTTGTGCAGTGCGTGCGATTCGTTGGTTTAAACCCTGTGTCTGATTCGCATCTGAAGGAAAAAATGTGATCATTTACAAAGAAAATAAAATAATGTATATTTAGCAATTAAAAATTAAAAGGATAAAAACAAATGTATGCGTAAAAATGAAATAAAATTAAGATAAAACGATGCTCTCTATCTCTTTCTCAATGAAATTAGATTAAGTTAAATTAGATTCCAAATTAAATTAAGTGCAATTAAGTTAGATTAGTATTATGATAAAAACAAAATAGATTTTGTATAAATACAAGAATTTATTGATTTACCTGTAAATCTTTGTTGATGCAAAATATCGTAAGACTCAGAAATGGTGTTCCTAGCAACAGGCAAACGCGTTTGCAGGGTTTGGGAGTTTTGGAAGTGCTGCTGGGGCAAGCCAGTACTTGCTTGAGATCTCTGCAGAGACTGCAGCATTCTGGTGCGATGGTCGATACCTTGGAGTCGTGCGTCAATGTTACCTGCTGCAGAATGTCGTGAATTTATTTCTAGATATATACGACACATGCATATGAGTGAAAATCTCACTTAACCTGACAATAATAAAAAATACCGAGATAAGAGATAATTATTTTATACTGTGAAACAATAGAGAACGTACCGATGGGATTCCTGATCAAAACATTCGGTTGTATAGGCATCCTAGCCCGGACAATACTAGGCGGCAAAGGTTGTCGGAAAGTGCCTTCGTTACCAGAATTCCCCGGCATTTGGGAGTGTTGCGGAAGCTGCACGTGGCTTGTTTCGAACTGTTGTTGACCGCTCTCGGAATTATTCTGGCCATCTGCATCATATAAGCAATACGATATTATTACGTAAATACAGCAATTTTAAAATAGATTAATTACTTTATTTTATTTATTTTTATTTTATTTTAATTATTTTAATTATTAATTTATAAAATATTATGTACATATAAATTAATATAACATTAATATCTTTAAGTTAAATTTAAAAGTGTTAATGATCTTTAATTTTAGCAATAAAAATGAATCAAAAGTATAATAATATATAACGATATATATATATATATGTATAGTAAAACTTAGAAGAAGGAAAAACATCAAATATACCTTGAGTCCAGCTAGTTCCTTCAATCTTCTTGCTCAATTGCTGCCTTTGCAAAAGATCTCTCAGCTGGCGATTAACTTCCGGTTGTTGACTAAAGACCTCTTGCTCTTGTCCGGGAGCTCTGGGAGGCTCGGGCGCACGCGGAGACGGGTAGCCTGCTGGGGCAGCAGAGACCGGGGTTGCCGGAGGTGGTTGTACGCCGGCAACATTATACGGATCAGGAGTCCGTGAAGATGGAGGCACAGGAGGTGGTGGTGGAGGTGGAGGTGGCGCGTAAACAGGGTTAGGTCGCGTGGAGGGTGCTGGTGGATTGAAGACAGCACGAGGAGTGGTACCTGGTGGCGCCGGTGCCGTCGCGTGTTGTGGCGACGATGTCGAATAGGAAGACGACGAAGGCGCAGGACCCCGTGGCGAGAAACCATCGCCACTACCCTCGAAACGCTGTTGGAAATGTTGCTGTTGCTGTTGTTCCGGTGCCTGAGAGGATGCCGGAGATTGGGGAAAATCATGAGGCGATTGAGGCGCCTGCGGTGAGAAGGGTGACGGTGGCTGTGGAAAACCTGGTCGCACAACTCCCGGAGTTCGGGAAATAGGGCAGACCTGATTGGGCAGGCGAACCATCCCCTGATGTGGACTCTGTGGGGTGAGATTACTGCGTGTTACCTTTAAAGGTGGCGTTGCAAAGGTACTGCGCGAACCCGGCGAGGGAGATGCTAATGGAGTAAGTTGGTTTGTGTCCTGCAACGATAATCCTTGTTAAATATCAGTTGACACATTTAAACACGAATGAGATATTTATCTTTTACAAGACTGTGATTAATATATAAAGCACGTAATATGATAATGAATTGCATTTATTTTTGATGTAATTATATGTAAAGGTACACTTACTTGCGTAGAAACTTGTAACTGCGTCGTCACGCCGGGATTGTTATCTGTAGCTAGTTGAGGTGTATTTTCCTCACTGATTTGTCTTTGCACTCTCGCGATTGCTGTTAACGACAAGAAAGATATTATTGAGGAATTTAATTTCGATTAACGGATAAATCGCGATGCTTTCATATTAAGAATTTATGATACAATTAAATAACAAGAATATAAAGAACATACCATGCACACGTTGCTCGTGAATGACCTGTTGTTGCATCTGTGCCTGTTGTTGACGTATGGCCTGCATATGCTTCCATTGCCTCTCCTGTTCAGCCTCTCTGCTGGAACGACCTTCTCTGTTTGACAGTCTGTCCTGCTCCTGTTAAAGATCAAGTTGATATAAGTCCCGAAACAATTGTTAGGAAAAGTCATTACATTTCTCGACGTGACTAATTCTATTTTTGATAACTTATACTAATTACTAATTTTTATTTCTAACTTTAAATCATATTAAAACTTTACCGCAATCTCGAACAAGATTACTTCATTATTCTCATTGAATTTATCGTTTCTGTTCAATTTTAATTCAATTTAGAAAAACTCATAACTTAATAAATATTTAGAATTTATAAAAACGTTTTATGGCAAATAATTAATAGATAAATGAATAACATTGTTAAATGTAATGACCTTTTTTCCATTAAGCATTGTTTAACACAAGGCAATAATTACAATCAGCCAATAAAGAATGTTCATGTACATAAGGTGAGCCAAGTGTTTGAGATAGCTCGAAAAATAAAAACATATCTAAATATTTCTTGTTTTATATAAACTTTGTTGTGTAACAACAAAAAACAAAGGACTGAATATAAAAATTATTTCTATAGCAATTTTAATTATTTTTGAGATGGTGCTTCATGTGTATGTGTTAAGATTTCAATTAACTCTAATATACGTTATTATTTCTTTGTAATTTATTATTATTTCTTTATAATTTATTTGTATTTTTAGTAAAATATATTCCATAAATTTTTTTTGCTTATTTCTAGCTTGTTTGTAGTTCCAACTCTTATCTTTTGATAATATTTACATTTTTATACGTAATTTTAAATGTATGGCGCACATTATGTATACTTTGCATGAACACTCGTAAAAGTAACAACACGGCACGTTGCTAAATTAATCATGATCAGTGAGATTTTGCAAATCTCGAATGTGCAAACACACTGGGAGTATTGAATACCAGCCACCATCTAAATATAGTAAAGAGATAATAATAGTTAATTAATAATATTAGTATATTGTGTATAGATATATTCCACTCGCCTGAAAAAATTCTCGTTCTCGACACAAATAACATAAAACACCACAAATACTTGTTTATCGGAGGGATTAATGCGACAATCTCACACCCATGCATATCAAAGTGTTAAATAATTCTAACCAATTACGTAACAGAAATTACAAAATTATAATAATGTAAATTGTAAGAAGTATGTTAAAACACCATTGACTATGATAGGCAAGCAATACGAGATGTGATTTGTTTTCCGAGAAAAATCTAAAATAATATCGTATTTGCTCGTTTATAATAGACAAATATACGCATAAAAATATAAAAAAAACTTTGATAAATATTAAATTAATAACAAGGAAACTGATATTAAAATAAATGTAATTAAATACTGGAAAATAAATAAGTATAAATAGATAATGGTACAATTAATATAAGTAATTTGACGAAAACATGTTTGTATTAATAATTTATAAAATGCAATTATTGCGCAGAGAAAATTACTTTTCTTTTGCAGGGAAAGTAAAACAATAATATTAGTACTAAACTAGCGCATGACCACTATACAACAATATATATTGCGATACAAATCTACCAATCACCCACAACAACAATAAGTAAATAAATCGTAAGCAATATCGGGAGGATTGAAAGGAAAAGGGACAAAATGATTTATGATTTAGGATCGTAAGGAACTAGAAAAAATGAAGGAAAATAAAAGAAGATGTGCTACCATCCTTGAACATGCCATGGAAATATCTAAGTTGTAAAAAAAAAAATGATAATACTACCACAATAATTTCTGCCACAGCGGCGATCTAACGTACAAAAAATAAAAAATAATACTTTATATTGAAATAAATTAAACCGAAGGAGACGAAAATACAAAAATGTCTGATCATTCCAAACAAAATCACTCGCGCTAATCCAAATTGAGAGATTGGAAAATTAGAGAATCAACATTCTTATTAATTCTACTATTTCACATAAAGAGTAATAACATATGCCGTTCTACTGTAAATATTCAATACATATTGAGTTGAATTTGGAATTATAAAATAAATTTTATATAAAAATAAATTTATATAAAAGAAATTAACATATATATACAAAAATTAGATATTTGCCATCGAGCGTCGATGCGTTAATACAGCGAGACATCCTATACATATCAACGGCGCCGATAAAAAGTATTGTAATTGTAAAACTATAATTTTCAAGTACAATTGTGTACGTCTCTTTCTCGCGAAAGTTTCACGTTTCTCATGTAATTATAACAGAGGAACAAAATATATATGAAGAAAAAATACTAAAATGTATATATATATCGTTATTGCTGTTGCTGTTGCTCTGCAGTCGTTAGAATCGTCGATATTCTATCAGTGCACATACTACTGACAAAACGACAATGTAGAATAGCTGCAACAAGAAGTACGCTGAAAACAAAGTTACAATACAGTTTTCATGGTTGCCGTTCGATATATAGGATGAATACTAAATCTCGATCAGACATTGGCCACAGAAAAAGGCAGAACGAAGTAGAAGACACTAACAGAGTTGGCGGGCAAAAGTTGGCTCTCACCATGGCGTTACTCGGGTGGTGGTGGTGGTGTTGGTGGTGGTGGTGGTGGTGATGGTGATGGTGTACAGGGGTGAGGGTCGGTGGTACAACAACAGTGTGAACAATCGCGGTGGGCGGTGGAGGTGGCGGCAATGGTGGCGGTGGATCATAATGCTCTTGGCTGAGGGACGGGAGAGTGCGCATGATCTCGGATGGTGTGAGCACTCGGATCTGTTGGTCGCCACCGTTAACAATTGCGGCGGGCACCGCTATCGGACGTTGTTGCTGATGCTGAGGAGGTGGTGGTGGTGGTGGCTGCCCTTCACCTGGATCTCTACAGTGAGAAGAGGAGGGACGGGATGGGGGTGAGGAGGTCGACGTTGACTGGGCCTGTCTCGCGCTTTCTGGCGGTGACGGGCAAGGGGGGGTGGGAGTTGTTAGCTGCCTCGACGCTGCTCCCTGCACCCCACACACCTCCTGATGTTGATGTTGATGCTGCTGACTGCTAGGTATCCCTGACGATGATGACGACGTAGTGCTAGTCATCAACATCCCCGCCCCGATCTGCTGTTGTTTCTCCTGTAGGGGCCCCAGTAAGGGTCTCGTGAGGCCCAGGGAGCCCACAGGCTTGTTCATCATGATGTTGGCGACGCCGGATGCGGTCGCAGGGTTGGTGGTGGTAGTGGTGGTGATGGTGGTGGTGGTGGTGATGGTGGTGGTAGTAGTGGTGGTAGTGGTGGTGGTGGTGGTCATGTTGGTGGTAGTGGTGGTAGTGGTGGTGGTGCTCGGTGAAATGTCCTTGGAGAGCTGTCGGGTCAACAGCGGCCGCTGGTGGTGGTCCTCGTTCACACGACGCGTTTCATACAGGGTGCCTCTCGTGCGACTAGACGTTCTTTCCTCTTTCTTTTCGATTGAGACTCGATAGTTGCATATCTTCGAGAAATTGTCAGTTTCATACATATCTCTTAATAAAACAAATTTTATTACGTATGACTTTGTTTTGTTGAATGATACATGAATATAATGCAATGTGTCCTTTTGATGTATTTTGTTAAGTTATTTCGCGAGAAACACCCTGTATGCGAAGAATGGTATAATGGGCCCGAACGAGGCGAGACGAGACGCGCATTGAGAAACGATGAGTCGATCGTTAGCACACACATGTGATACATTCAATTCCACGTAATTGTGAGAAAGACGTAGAATACAAAGGCGGGATCTATGTGGATTCGTATGGGTCTACGGACTCGCAAATCTGTGGGTCTACTTTGTGTGTTCTAGATGCTTCATAAATGTGTTTTTAATTACCGTACATACGTAAGGCTAACTCAAGAAAAGGGAGTTAGAGAGGATAGTAGGGTTCATTTACATACTTTTATGAATCTATACATTTTTGTGTCGTTAAAACATTCTATGAACCAATAAAGTCCTGAATTTTTAATGGTATAAATTAAATTAATAAAAGACGAATAAATTTATTATAATTACAAAATTTTATCTTATAAATGAAAAAAAGCAATAGATAATGTACGCGTTTAATTTATATAATTTATAAATAAAAAATTTTTCTGATTATTTACTTTTTTTTAAAGTTATGTATTTATAGATACTTTAATGACAACTTTTAAAAATGCATCTACTCTTTTTTTCTAAATATCGGGAATGTAGAGTGAGTCCGTGAGAACCGTTCCTCTTCACCTCATTTGGACCCACTATATAAAAGACCCATTCATGTTCGATCTTGTATCTATTTGAGCTTGAATGGGACTTATTATATTACTAATTACAATATTATTAGCTTACAATAAAATTTATATGAGAGATACGATCAAGAATTTCTAACTGTGGGACTTATTTTTGTTCATAAACTCAAATATTCTTGACATTATAAAAAACAGACTCCATCATCCATCTACAATAAAATTCATATTTATAAATCTAACAGAAGTAAGTAAAATAGGTGATGGAACTATTTATATATTAAACTCGTTATATTATTTATATCATTCATTAAAAATTATTTTCCCTCATATTTAAACATAATTTGAATCTATTACAAAATCCTGTGATAATTTTTCTACACAAACATTTGAACTATCTCCGCGGAAGACAAATATCACACATTTTATATAAATTACTCTCTCTAAATTGTAATAAATAATTAAGATAAAATGGTACATAACTACCGTTTAAATAACTTAAACAAACGATGAATTTAGACAAATATCTATTAATAATTGTGTTAGTAAAAGATATGAATAAGTAACTTCAAATTTTTCTAATTTTATAATAAGTTTTTTCTATCTCTCTCTCTCTCTCGAACGCGAGAATGAAATTACCTCAAGTTCACAATAGATACGTGATTTGCGACACACAGAGGTCGAGCTGTTAGTCTCACTTACGTGTTAGCACAAGACACGATCGAGGACGAAACCCCATGAATATTTCTGGAGATACAAAATATCTCGAACATCGTATCTCGTTTAACATCGTTTCTCAATTATAAATTCTTTTTGCAATTTTAGACACATATATATACACACATACACAGAAAAAGGAAAAAAAACCGCGAAAAAAAAACTATACATTGGATTATATAGCAACTATATACAAAGTTCTTTTTTTCGTGTTAAAATACGACAAGATCAAACTTAACATCAAAAATACGAAAGTTTCGAGACATTTTGTATACACCCTATCCGTATATCTTTTTGACTTTTTTCGTTCTACTTTATAAGATAGTTTGATTACCTGTTGAGTTTTCTTCATCCGGCTAGCAGCACGATTATCGCGAGCCTGGGTAAGGTACGGAGCCTTTTTTTCGTTCGGTAGTGCCCGCCACTTCTTTAAGATTTGCTTACATCTCTCGGACCAGGCTGGATACTCGTTTTTCCACTCAGGATGATTGATATTAGCATAAAGTACAGATGATATAGTTGCGTTCACACCTAATGCCTCGTCGGCTTCCATCTTCAAGTTACTTCTTTGGTTATATGAGATTGTAGCATTGCTCGCAGGAGCATTGCCTTCGTCCTCGGGATTCACCCACGGACTGGGCGGTTCGGAGAACGCGGGACTGAATTGTGGACTACTATAAAAACACCACATAAAATCATTTTAGAAATATACTCAGGATACAATTTTCATTTCAAACATACGAATTAACATTAAAACAAATATATTAAATATAATTATTACATAAATTACTAGATATTATTTACTATTATTACTAATTACATAAGTTTTATTTCTAAAAATGATAAAAAAATGATAAATAATAAGTAGTACTATGAAGGGATTGTAAAATTCTATCAAAATTTTTACTTTTAATGAGCATTTTGTGTCCTAATTATAGTAAAAGTTTTAATAAAAATTTCTAGTTAGTTTTATAGTACTTTTGACTGATTATAGTATCGATACTCACTTGCTATATTCAGAATGATACGGAGAAGGCGGTGGGAAACTCATAGGAGAATTAAGACTTGATTGTCCAACGGAGGATAAAGTACCAGGCACTTGAGGTCTCACCAGAGGCATTGCCGCTGGAATACCTATATAAGAATATTATTTTTTAAAAATATCTTTAAATTTATTATCATGGTCCATGAATTACAGTCTTTTGAACCAATAAACTATATATATTGGAAATTGAAACTAAAATTATATAATTAAAAGTTATAATTCTATACTTCTATAATTGATTACACGATTGCGATTTCTATTGCGATTGCAGTTGTAGTTTTATAAAAATACCGTATAAATCATAAAATACAATTAAATACGATTAAGAGAAAAAATAAAATTATTGTTCATGCACTAACCAGGATGAGGAGATGGTGACACCAACGGTGTCGTGGACGACGAAGGATGCGAGGCCTGAGCCTGAACGGAAAACACCGATGACTCCTGAGACTCTTGCGATTCGTCAGTTAACACACCCTTAAAGATTTCCTCAATATCTTTACTGTCCATGTTTGGCAGTCCTGAAAAAAAATAATAATCGATTAGAATATTAAACTAAACTTCATTAAATTGATTAACATTGAAATCAAACATTTAATGTATATTTTCGAAATAAATACTTGATTTACTGACTCTCGTGTAACATTCTTTCACTCGGAGACTTACCGGTGTCTCTGACCATCGATTCCAGATTGAAATGCGGACTCAGAATATCCGTCAGCTCGTCCTTGCTGGGCGCTTGCGCGTCGTCCAACTCGTCCAACGCCTCGCTGGCCTTTGCCAGATCCTCATCCGGCTCGTTCATTATGGTATTCACCAAATCGCTGTCTAACAGGTCTCCAGAAATTGGCAAGATATCTCCGAGCGCTTCTGTATCACTTCCTTCATCTTCCATGATTTCTTCTCTCTTAATCTGCTCTGAAACCATGATCTTCTGATCATCTTCCTTCTCTTGCTTAGCCTTCACTTGTTCCATTGCTTTGAGCTCATCCTGAGATAATTGAATGGTATCAGCGTTTCCAGCGACGTTGTGTTCACCCTCGGACTCACTGCTGCTCTCTAGATCTTTGTCCTTCGTGGTGTCCATCAGATCCTTACCGAAGAACGCCTCTTGCATATAAAGAGGAAAGCACTCGGCCAACTTGGGTTTTGGTTTCCGACGTTGTGGTTTTCGGCGAGGTTTGTCGTCTCCTACCCCAACAATCGAAGATTCTAGTACTGGGCCTCCTGGTTTTTCAGGTTCTCCTGATCTAAGAATAAGAATCCATGCCTCCCCTTGCTTTTCGAGATCAACGCCTTCTTCCTCTTTGTCCTTCCGGGTGCGGAAACGCGCGTTGAAACCTCCGATACCCAACTTTTGCAAATTTCGCTGACGTTTTCGCCGTAATACCGGAATACCAGCTTCTGATGTGCACACACTAAAGCCTTCTGGGGGTGGCTGATCGGCCGGCCATACTGTACCTTCTTTCACTTCAGCAGGTTCATCTTTTACGTCCACTAACTCTAATTTTCCACTTTCTCCCTCTAAAGAGTTGTCTAAACTACCACCGGCAACAACGGATTCGATTGTTGCCATGATGTCAGCTTCTTTGTCTATTAATGGTAACATTTTCCTTCTTTTTTTTCGCGTTTGCTGATGTTCCGACGTCAAAGATTTGATATGATTCATCCCAATGTCGGAGAGATAAACTCCATCGACCAAATGTGGCTGAGTAGAAGGCTTGAAAAGTTCCGGACTTTGTGTTGCGGGTGGTGGAGAGGATCTGATGCATATATAATATATACACACACATACAAAATATTGTATCAAACCTGATCATATAAAGAGACAAAAATAAAGACGCAATTTTCTCATGTTATATCACTTTTCAATATAAGATTAATAAGAGATTTTAGGTAATTTGGATAAGATTTTGGGATGTATAATCTATCTTGAAAACTATCTTTTAGTATGTTATCGATAGCTCACAAATCAAACGCAATAAATATTAAATTTAAATGTTAAGTATAAATTTGAATTCCAAATTGTTTTGATTGAAAATTTAAATGTGTTACAATAAATTATTTTTCATTCTGCGAACCTGGTATACTTTGGTTGAAGCTTAGGCTGTGCACAAAGAAGATGAGGTGGGGGCACGTCTCTCGGGCGGCAGAGAAGACAGATGTATCCTTCCTCGGCGCATCGTTCGGCTTCTACTTCGCTCTTGATGGAATCACAGCTGCAGTGCAACCAGCGCTCGCATTGCACACACTGAATAATAAGGTCGCCCTCCTGATAAGCGTCCTGGCAGGCGACGCACGCACTGTGAGAGGCGCATGGACCGCATTGGGTGTAACTTTTTTGCCAGGAGCTATTGAAACCTGGATCGTTGGAGCCGCAAGTTTGACACTGAGCGCACCATTTACATTTCCAGTTTCCATGGGGCACGTATTCCAATGGTGGATCCATGCAATAGATATGATAGCTGATGTCACAGTCGTCGCACAGAATCAGGCGTCCCTCATCATTTCGTTCTCCGCAGCCTGCGTGAAATAAAAGATTGCAATTTATTACAAGTATCAAAAGATTCGCATAAAGATTAGATAAAAATACATTTATATAAATTATTTCATAATACAACAATTTGCAACGTACAAAGTGTAATATGTACTGAGAACATTGAGTGCGATCGAAAAATACAGATTAATATCTTCTTATTATTACTCCAATTTTAATGTTAAAAATTGTTTTCTTAGTTCTTATTATAGAAAATAAAAACATTAAAGTATTGTGTAACATTTCACAAAGCATATTTTGTGAAATAATACAAATTCATAAGTCCAAGATAATTCGTCTATAATTTAAAGAGAAAAAGAGGTAATTATTATATTTTTTTGTATAAAAGCAGATATTTATAAAAAAAGTACCTTCGCAGACGGTACAATCGAGACAGCGCCAACCCTTCTGCAGAATCACCTTTGTGACCTTAACATTGGCGCAATATGGATGGTAGCACTGGCCACACTGTGCACACGCTATCAGACAACCTTCCTGATCGGTACCAATCGCACCGCACATCACGCAAATGTCCTGAGTTAACACGAACTTGTCTTTGGCCGAACAGAGGACCAGGCGATTCTCCACCCCGGGCTCATCCTCCTTCGAGGAAGAGTCCGGCGCCGGACGCTGAAATATTGAAGATATTTGCTAATTTATTTCGAAATTAGCAATTGGTATATATAATTAGTAAATAATCTGGCCAGTCGATAAATGTAGCTCAATGTTATTTATATTTATATATAACAATCGCGACATACCTGCAAACCAACTCCAGGAGCGCCAAAAATGCCTCTCATCTTTGCTTTGGGTCCTCTCTTCCTTCCAAATTCGGTCATTTTTTGACGTTTTTGGTAACCGAGCTTGCCAACACCTTTGGGTCTACCGACACACCCGCCGCCGCTTCCTAGTCCCAAACCGAGGCCCAGTCTCTTTTTGGCGATCTTATTAGCATAGTAAGGCTTGCCCTTACCAAGACCAACAGAGTAGAGCGCCTCGTCAGCGCCGCTACTTTGACAGTCGAACTCCGAGGATTCGCTTCGTGGACTACGAGGAGCACCTCCGTAAAAAAGATTATCCTGCGACGTGCTCTGCTCACTGTTTATGGTAGTGCCACCACATTCGTCCATGCTATCCTTGCGACGTGCATAGGCCGCTACACTCTTCTTACAATGTAAACACACATACTCGTAGTCCGGCTTAGCCTCCTTACGTTGTTGGTACACAGTTGGATCAGCTTCCGAGTCACATGTGCCATGCACAAATTTTTTACATACGTTGCACTGTACCATCTCACGATACGCTGCAGCTCTGCAGTAAATTATAACAAGATAGGAATCGCGATAGTAATAATAAATATAATATGCTAAATGTCGTCTTTGTTACCTGTATGCCTTTCTGCAGAGCGGACAAGAAAAACCCTTATTTCGTTGTTGGTAACATGAGTCGCATACTGTATAATGAGAATGCCACCTGGAGGATAGACCTGCACCAGGCGTACGAGAGCCACAGTCAGTACAAACGCGACAACATTTACATTTCCAACCGTACTTTGGAATGGACGTTACAATTGGACGTAAGCAGCCAGGATGATAAGCCTTATCACAACGCTCGCACAACATCACCTGTTGTCCAATAGGATTAATAGAAATTTTAACTTATTTGAAAGAAAAAAAGGAAAGAAAATATTATTGTTGACAAAGCAATTTTTCTGACCTTGGAGACATCCTCGGGTTGTCGGCATACTTGACACACGCGACAGGTTACACACTGCCAGCCGGCGCGAACTCCGGGCAACAACGCCAGTCCTACGCAACCGCCATGGTAGTGATGGCCGCAGATGGAACACATGACCAGATTTGACACATCGCCCATTCCATAGCATTGCACGCAAGTTACATCCCCGCTCACTGAAACAGTCAAGTGCAACAATTGTTATAAGAATTTAACAAGTTCGAAAGATTTACAATTCTCTCCTTTAAACACTTTGTTGTTACAAAAAATATTACAAAAATATTTTAGATCATAAAGTATTACTTCTTAACTCAAAACTGTACTGTAATTTTATAAAGAATTGTAATATTGTAATTTTACTTAATAGTACAAATAACATTGAAGAAGCTTAAAACTGAGAAACTTACACAAAAGTGGAACTTGTCCTAAATGTTGACCACAGAAAAGAGACAAGCTTTTAGTGTCCTGAAAGCAACTGGAGGCTGCAGCACACGGGAAATGAAAATAACGATTGCACGATGCCACCTGTTGAATATCGTCATTTATTTATGATAGGATTTTTCACTATTCAGGAAAATATGCATAAAATTATTACGATAACTAAGCAAAAATATATTTTAATCCTTCAAATCAACCAACAATTTTTTCTTAATAATCTCTATTTTTAGATACAACAAATAGGAATAATAATAAATATATTGTACATATATATAAATAGCAGTGATGATAAATACAAAAACAATACCAAAATATATAACAATAAATATACTTATAAAATAACAGAATTTAAAAGAGAATTTTTCGGAGAATTGTTGGATGTGACTTACTTTGCAAGGAATTCCGGCGCCGTAGTGCGAGCAATAAGCGCAACGTCGTGACGAAGCCGATACGACGGCACGGCTCGCCAGTTCCGATGCTACTTCTTGACTGTTGCTGGACCAGATTACGCACGAGTGATGAACGTAGTAATGGCCTGTTGTCTCGAAAAGCGCACCCAGCTCTGGCTCTTCCGAGTAGCCTACGATCGTCAATTCCTCCACCGGCTCCGAAAAATTCGTCAGACTAGTATTCCTGAAATAAACGTGGAAAGAGATACATACGTGTATCTGTATTTTGAGGAGAAACGTATATATATGAGAATAATATAATTTTCGCGTACCTGCACTTAGCTAAACTCTTCTGCCGGCGACATGTAACGGCTCCAGGTCCGGCAGTAGCAGCGCGTGGACTTTTGTCACCAGCAGCGGTAACGTCCGTAAGATGATGAGTCTCAGCGACGGTGATCTCGTCGCGATTCGCCGATTTTTCTGGCGTGAAGCCCGGTGGACACGATAACCGCATGAGTTCACCTTGTCCCAACTGACTCCTCTCGCCCAAGTTACACAATGCGCAAACTTTCCCTGGCCTGTAAATAAAGTAAGTTTTTTCTCCTATTTATATATTGAAGTGAAACTTTCAAGATTGGTTTTATCTTCTCAGAATGAATCCTTAAGTAATAATATAGTGCAGGGCTCGGCACATTTTGCTTTTTTCGGCCGATTCTCGGGAGCTACGCCTTCTATCTCCCCCTTGCCGCGCGGCGGGCCATGCAAATAACGGTCGCGGCCAGTCGCGGCTCCAAGCTTAGAGACACGACCGTCATTTTTTAGGCCCGCCGCGCGGCAAGGGGGAGATAGAAGGCATAGCTCCCGAGAATCAGCCGAAAAGGGCAAAATGTGCCGAGCCCTGATATAATGTTTTACTAATTTATTTCATAAATAATTTATATATCTGACTTTATAGGAGATATTACCATTGTTCGGGAAAGTAAGGCGGCTCTTCAGGAGCCGGCATTGATCTCTCGGCGCTTGACTCGCCATCAGGGGTAGCGTCGTCCCCGGTACGTAGAGGACTCGGTGACTCTGAGTGTGTATCCTCATCCTTACTTTTGGTACGACGTGGTACGCCTCTTGCATAGCCCAATCTATACAAAGTATAGATAAGAATAAGTATAGAAGTAGAGATAAAAGTATGATATATATACTTTGCAGTATTTTTACTATATTTTATGTAGTACTTTATTATTTACTGTGATTTTTAAAATATATGCATTTATAAATGAAAATAAGACAACACACAAATAATTATTTATTTTCTTATTACTTGTAACTTTTTTATATAGATATAATGTAAAAATTAATGAATTCCCAAATTTTAATCTAAGGATGTTGTATTTCTTATAATTATATATTGTATACTATTTTGTGTGTACACATATTGTATATTGTTATAATAAATGATGAACTAACCCTTTGCCTCTCGCGCTACCTCTTCCAAAAGATTTTCTAGTGCCTCCTCCGCGGGTGATCCCAAGAGGACGTTCTTTTCTAGGCCTTCCAGGTCCACGTCGAATGTTCAGAGGTTTGCCTCCAGTTAAAGGAAACTTCTGGTACCGTAGTGGATCGGGAAAACCTTCGTCTGGTGTGACTAAAAAAAGTAACAAATGAACCTCAATCTCTTTAATTAAAATTCAATTTTATAATTTTGATAATTATATAATTGAAAATTCTGTTAAACAACAGCAAAATGACAATCTTAGATATAGTTATTATTTGTTACCAGGTGTTGGAGTTGATCCCAGCAATTGATCTGAATTGGCTGGTGACACAGGAATACCTGAGGTCTCCTCATCATCGTCCTCACCGTCGGAAGCCTCATCCAGCTCCATTTCCTCCTCACCTTCGAGCCGCTCCTCATCATCCATGGCACTTTCTGGACGAATCTATTCAACCTGCTAGAATATTTAATTATTTAATAATGTTATTTGATATAATAATGATAAGTAGAACCTTGATATTTATAAAAATCAATTAAACTACACTGTTTTAGTCATGAAACATTCTTTTAAAACTGACATAATAACTTCATTGCACTAAATCAACCAAACTGTACAAATATTTTAACCACAAAATATATTTCTAAAAAATCAGAGAACTAAATCAGTTTTGAGTATATACAATACATTAATCAAAAGACAAGATAAATCACTAATCACTATTTTCCACACCAGTTCATAGCCAGTGCATACAGCCCCATTGAGATACAATAGAACTTAAAGTGCTGTCTAAAAACGAATCTCTAATCTTTTCGAAATTTTTACCAAGATTTAGATAAACCAGAACTATTTTGGAATTTCAGAACATTCCTCTCCTTTAACAGGAGAAAAGATGATGACATTCAGAAGAGTCAGGGGACTCGTAATCCTCTTCGAGGAGAGAAAAGCGCGAGCGATAGGAAGGGGGGAGGGAAGGTATCGCGATGCCGACGACGACGACGACGATGACCAGGATGATGTTAAAGAGCGGAACGTATATTCGCCATGACACGTAAACAGACGCACGAAGGTCAGATCGCGCCGTTTTGGTGTTACGCGCGGGCTACGTACCTAATGACGACGGCGGCGGCGGCGACGAGTCAGTGATAAGGCAGCAGCGACGCGACAATTCTCATGGCGGGCGCGCGCGCGGCAGCAGAGTCAGCGACGACGACGACGACGGCGGTGACGAAGGGCTGCTGCTGGGCGCGGTGGTAACGGCGGCCAGACAGCCGGGTAAACATCCTGCACGTTGGTGGTACCAAACTCGGTGGTCAGTCAGTCGGCACTTCCGAAGAAAAAAATGTCACACACACAGACAATCCAGGCACCAGGCAGACAGGCATGCAGGTCTCTGCGCGAACGGAAGAGTATACGACGCCACCAACGCTACGTTCACGGAGCATCCCCGGATATGTGCACCCGCGTTCGCCACACACACACGATTCAGCGCCGCCCAATTTCCTCCGCCGTGGTAACTAGCGGGATTTACAGCGCCATCTATCTCACCACCGTGTCTCTAGTTTTTTCTTGGTGTAGTTCGAGCGCTGGGATTGGCGGATAGCCAATAGTCCAAAGTCATGTGCGCGCGCGCAGTAAGTATTTTGCGTTAAGTCCTTAATCGCGTACTTATGGAGGATTTACACTACGCCCGACATTCGATGTCCGACGACGATACGATATCCAATAGTAGAGCTTTTTGCTAGAGTTCTAGCTAGAGTTTCTAGTGACATTTTTATCTCCATAAAACTAATTCTTCTATTGGATATCAAATGTCGTACAAAATGTAAATTCTCCATTAAGCTAGCCACACGTACAAACTTCCGACCTTAATGGACCAATCACAGTAAGGCGTCGAGTCGAATATCGTCAATATTAAGATTAAATTCTAATAGAAAGTTACTATTTAGTACGCGTATCAATTGACCGATGTAAATCAAGCCAATGTGAACCTATGCAGCGAAATAGCGTAGCGCGGAATGAGAGCGGAACCAATCACGAACGTTCCGCAGTTTTCGTTGCACGGATTTTCAATCTCTAAAGCCCATTCTACAATTGCGTGAAAGTGGATGTAAGTGGTTGTAAGTGATTACGACACCAATCAGAGTAAAGCAATCAGTGAATAAAACATTCGGATTGGTTGACTCTTACGTTCACGACTACGCTTACGCCATTGTAGAATGGGCTTAAGGCCGACGTACCATGGGGCGGAATTCTCCGCGGAACGGAACACGTGGAACCAGTACGACTAATCACAGCCATTCCGCTCTTTTTTATGCCGTTTCGCTATAATCTTACTGCTGCAGTTTTGCGGAAAGGATAAAGATAGTCGCGGATAACCTCAACATATCTTACATATCTCATTTGCTTCTTATACATTTACTATATATTTTTTTTTTTTACATTTTTTATTATTTCGTTTAGAAATGATGAGTGGAGGGATCGTAAGTAATAAGATGTTAATATTTTGATAATTGTAGTAAACAATTATGTATAATATATAAATATATTTATATGTTTATATGTTTAATTAACAGCCACAGTCGACAAATCACATAATATATTTTCTATAATTAATCATAACAGATCTCACTTTATTATACTACATAATGTATCACCGCAATTCTGCTGTACTTTTCTTTCTGTCCCATGAAGCGATAAACGCGGCAGCGGAATTATGTTTTAACCAATCGTAAAATAGTTGCATATTTTCGTAAAAAGTATTTTACTGAGAAATTAATTTTACTCTTTACTAATTTATCATATATTATATCATTTGTATAAAATATTATTAAAATTATTAAAAACATAAAAAATAACATTAAAAAGACTACTTTTTGTATTATTCCGCGTAATCTGCTGCCGCGTATTCCTCTTCATGGAACATAACGAAAACAGAAAAAGCGCCGGAAGAAAAGCGAAACGGCTGTGAGTGGTCGTGTTAACTCCGCACGTTCTGTTCCGCTGAAAATTTCCGCTTCGTGGGAAATTTTCAGCGACGACGCCCTCAGAATGCCTCTCTATGCGGTATAACTTGCGTCGACCAATCACATCGTTTTATTTGAATTCAGCTATTTAAATGAAAAATGTAATTGGTCGGTGCAAGTTATGCTTACGCAAGTTACGTGGCATGGGGAAGCAGCTTCAGCCGTCTGACTGTGCAAATTCACACATTGGCAGAAAAACTCGAAACAGAAAGACAGAAGCCAATCAAAACTCACGCTGGTGATCAGGGTACCTATTATGGACTTCTTCGGAATCAATTCCGATCAGAATAATTACGTTTCCCCTAGAAAAGACAATAGAAATCTAGGAAATAACTGAATGTTCCCGATCGGAATTGATTCCAAAGAAGTCCATAATAGGTATCCTGTTTTCGGCATTTCTACTAAGGTATAAATTTGTTCTGAATACGATTGAGTGCTTTCCAATTGCTTAACACATCTTGACACACATGTACACAAACCAGTTCATTAGTCACATATTATCTAAAATATCTTGTAAGATAATATGTAACCAATAAACTGGTTTTGTGTAACGCAGTGTACGCAACTGGAAAACACACATTATACGTTAGGGTATGTTCGGAAATGTCACCTGAATGCTTTCTTTCTCTCTTTATTTCACTCTCGTATCTTTCTCATTTCAACGTAGCGAGTGTACCCGGGTGACGTTTCCGAACACAGCCTAAAGGCCAAATCACACTAGCAATTGACAATTAACGATTGATGATTGAAGATTAGAGGTTTGTTCGCGTCGCATGCCCCAACATGCTCCTACTCGCTCCAATGTACTCTGATTGGTCCGCGTGGTGACATGAGCCAATCAGAGTGCGTTGGAGCGAGTAGGAGCACGTTGGGGCATGCGACGCGAACAAACCTTAGATTTTAACGAATCAACGAGCTTTAACCTTGGCTTGCTTGGCTCCAATTGGTCAAGTTTCAATCTTTAATCTTTTATCTCTAATGGCTCTTGCACACAGAACGCGGATAAGATAAACTGTGTAAACGCCAAATCACACTAGCGATTGACGATTGACGATTGAAGATTAGAACTTGACCAATTGGAACAAAGCAAGCCAAAGCTGACGCTTGTTGATTCGTTTAAATCTAATCTTTAATTGTCAATCATCAATCGCCAATTGCTAGTGTGATTTGGCCTTTAAAGCCCGTGTCACACTACGGCTTATGGCTCCTGCACACAGGACGCGGTAATGCTTACCGCGCGGCGAAAGTCCACGCGACAGCCAATCAATATGTTGTTTTTCCGTAAGAGCTAGAGATTATTACGGAAAGCAGCATTGATTGGCTGCCGCGCGAACTTCCGCCGCGCGGCAAGCATTACCGCGTCCGTGTGCAGGAGCCATAAGCCGTAGTGTGACACGGGCTTTAAAGGCCAAATTACATTAGCAATTGGCGACTGATGATTGACAATTAAAGATTAGATTTTAACGAATCAACAAGCTTCAGCTTTGGCTTGCTTTGTTCCAATTAGTCAAGTTCTAATCTTTAATCGTCAATCGCTAATGTGATTTGGCCTTTACACAGTTTATCTTATTTATTTGTTTTCAAATAGAACCGCGACTTCACGTTAGCGTGTTTGACGTTACGGACCGTAATAAGTACAATAAGCATTATAAACACCACGGAGAGGTATAAGAAATGAATTTATTATAATATTGAGTTCGAGTTTGATCCAAACAGATTTCAAGATAATTTGTTTTTAACGAAAACGTAAATTTATTTAGAATTCGATAAGTGGAAGTAAAAAGATACGTTTTAACGTTATGATAGAGTACAATATATTTTTTATGCAATATTAGGATTATGACATCTATTTTTCTGTCATAGATAAAATGATGGAAGATAACACATTAACATTTTACTAACAAAAATAATATATATAAATCGATACATTTATTTTTGTCATATTTTAAAATATAAGTTTATAGATTTTAACTTAAAACATTTATGAAATAAATTCAATTATTTTAAATATAAAAGACGCAGTAATATTATAATTATAATAACTATATTATTATAAAATGCTCTGCAATGTTAGTATACAGGAATTACATGTATTTTATTAACTATTTTACAGTGCTTCTCTGATGTGTAAAATAAAGAGAAAAAGAGCATCTCTGAAGTTTTCATCACTTCCGAAATCACGATCTGGCAAAAGTTGACAGCCGTCCAGACCCGTTGATAAGCACTTGAGCAGCAGGAGATACGGTAACGTCTTGCCCAGCCTAATCACTCCTGCGGCACTAGTACTTAGGAACAGGACAGGACATTCTCGATTCATCTTTTCTAGTGCATTCTTCGAAGGATTCTTTTAGCTTGTCCTTTCTGCAAACAAAGTATAAGGTAAAACAAAAGTCCACAAACAAAATAAATAAAATATGAGAAAAAAAATATATATACATATAAAGAAAGAATATAGCATGAAATGAGAAACAATAATCTGAACAGCACAAATGTTGAAATACATGCTAGAATATTCCAGAGATGTTTGAAATGTAAGATATATTTTAAACATTTGTATTGTATAGATATAATAAATATAGTGCAAAATCAACAGAATATAAGATATGAGAGAGCAAAAGTTTGGTTAAAAATTGAAAAATAAATGAAAAATTTGTGAGGAACACGAGAAGCAGTTGCTTATTTATTAATGAAGGAAAAAGTTAATTCGTATCATCTTGTACACCCGGTATATAACGGTGATGCAACAACGGACAGTCGTACTCTATTGAAACAACCTCGAGAAATCATTAAAGTCGCCCACTGTATCGCACAAATCCCCTTACATTCACTGTTCTCTCGCGTCCCCTTTCCTTCGTCCATCATTCTTCTTTTTCTCTTTCACCCTTACCGATTTGCTTCCAGACCTGTTGCGTGTTATCACGTTATCATTGCGTCTATCACAGTATTTCTTCAACTCGATGTTTTACAACCTAATATGAATATATTACAAAGATACACATATTTATAAAAGAATAGTAAAAATAAATTGCAACATTATGAATAAATTCTTACAATAATGTATAAATTATGATACATGAAAATATATCAATTTGTTTCAAAGAGCATTATTTAAATAATAATTTATTTTATTTCCGGGCTTTTGTATTGTTAAAATTAGTATGATAAATAATGGTAGCGTTCTGAGAACAAAATTTATAGTTTTTCAACATGTATCATGGGCGATTATACATTGCCGTACGATATAAAAGTCAAATAAGCTCGGAAGCCGGTAATATTGCAAAGAGACGAAAGCTGAAAGAGAGTGAAGGGAGACAAGGTACAATCGAATCTTTGATTTCTCTGCGTCTCTCTCTCTCTCTCTCTCCCCCCTCTCCTCCTCCCCTTCTCTCTCACTGTCTCAGTACGCATTTCTCATTTTGCTAACGTTCCACTCGTCGTTCACCGCTTAGTAAGAACGAAACAGCAACTGTTAGGATTATGTATTAAAACTGCATTGAACATCGATAATGCAGGAATAAAGAAGATAAAATTAAAAATAACGTGCACAAAAATAATGCAATAAAGGATTACACATAAAACGTGCATTAAAATACTTAATGATAAAAATGACAAAATATAAATGGTTTAATAGAACTTGTAATTTTCATATGTATGTATAAAATAAAAATATAATAATGTGTGTGATACATAATGTAATAATATAATTCAGAAAAATTGCGAAAATTATTATAAAAATGATAAATATATAAATATTTGTTTTTTTAATATTTACGGGTTTTAATTTTTATTAATGACAATGAAAGATTTAATATAACAGTGCATGCTGCGTCGTCCATTATTATTTTTTAACGTCGCTCTCGGATTAAGTTTTAATCACTCGCCAGAAAGGATTAGAGACGTCTTCGAACATTACAGGTTCATCCGCACATACAGACACACACACACGTGCGCGCACGCATACGAGCCTCCCTCCCCCACACATATAATGTGACCTAAAAGTAGCTACTCGCAAATTAAAAAAAAATATTTTAAAAGTTCTTTTCTGATTAGTTGTTTTATTATAGGACACCCTGTAAACGGAGCGGCTGGCTCTTTCGGCGTTGGTGGTAGCAAAGACGCGAAAAAACGAGAGACGGCAAAAAGAGGGAGAGCCAGTCGTGGGATAAGATAAGGGGGAGGGATGTCAATTAACGTTAATTCTCGTTAATGTCGCTGGTCCCTCTTCGTCAAACGCTGTCCCCCTCGATTCGAAAATGACTCGTCTGCGGGTGTATTTAATGATGCACCAGTGGTGCGCATACCAGATTCGAAAAGTACGGAAAAGGTAAGTTGGCGATAATCTAAAAAATAACGTAATTCTGAGAAGTGGTTTTACTTTTTAAATCGCTGAATCAATTTTCTAATAATAAATCACTTCTATAATTAATGATCCATATACACATATAAAACTTTTACTTTCCGAAAACAAATTAGAATTTCCGTTATTTACTTATTCCTATTTTTTAAGAAAAAAATTTTACAAGTATGATTTTAGTTTATCCACTGAATATCAAGTTTGTTATCTTTTTCATACTTTTATTCATTAAATTGAATTCATATTTTAAACACATTTTGTGTATAAAAATGCATTCATATGTAAAACTATGTTTCCTGCTTTTTTTATGTTACATCCATAGAATTCAATTGAAAGGCAACAAAAGAATATCTGTTAATAGATTTCCTTCTGACTCACCTACTTTTCGCGGGTTACAGACGGAATGTATTACTGGTATTTTGACCCTAGTCGTCCATATCTCTTTCTCCTTTCTTGTGTTCTATACATTATACTATCGTTCGTACAGGTCAAGAAGTCATTGTGATAAATAGTGCTCTGGTGCTAAGAGCAGAACGCGTTATGTATAAATTTCGAGTAACGAATAACGAAGTATCTCTCTTTTATAATTACAAAGTATATTTTATTCAGGTTAAAAGCATAACTCGAGTGAAATTTTTTAAATTAAATTAAACATTTTTAAATAATTTCTGTGTAATTAACGAGAATAGGGAATTTCTCTTTAATAATGCGGATACCGGTATCAATTATATAAATTACATAATATCGGTTTCTTATACTGAAAAATTAATTAAATATTCAATAAATAATAAAATTCACGATCTTTACTTCACGAACATAATTTTTTACTTATTTTGTGTAATTCTTCCAAATACTATACGATATAGATAAGTATATGAAACAATATACTTATATGAATCATAATAAGAAATATAAAATCTTCAATTTTTTAAATCCTCTAATAGAAAATACTCGTCGTATTAATTTTTGCATTCAATTAACATCGCAATCATTATTCTATATAATGTCTAACAATTTCCGTGCATTCTTGATGAGACAATCACAGGAAATCGCGTAACCTTTAACCCTTTGCCATACGTAATGATATTTCATATTAGCTATTATAGCTAGTATCAAGATTCATTTGCGTGATTATATCTTAAAATTTTATCTAAATTTCATCCATGCACACGTGTATATTTCTCAAGTGTCTATAATAGTACATTTTATAATTGTAGAATAACTTTTGCAAACTTTTTAAAACTTATATATTTATGTAATATTTCAGACCGACCTCACGTTTTTGAAATTCGAGGATCCGTCATTGAGAGCGAGAGAAACATTGAATCAATCGAGGACTCTACGAAACATCTAACTAAACTCCGCAGGTTTATATCGACTGGCATTTCCTTTTTTTTTTCTCACCGATACAGCCGTCATTGCAAATTAACTTCTCACGTGCATTCCTTCACTCTGTCCGTTCGTTCACTGATTGCGCATCGTAGTGTGCGTTTCCGCGCGCGCGTTTTACGTACGACTTCGCACGGACGCGAAAGAATAGGGAAACAAACTGAAACCTTCGAAACGCATAGCGCAGTGGCGCGGCAACGACTGAGCGCTAAATGCTCTTGATTGCCTTGATATAGTGGGACGCGCGCGGCGCAATTGGTTGCCGCGGTGCGCGGCGTCGCGCGGGAAATGATTGGTCAATTTAATCCTAGAAGCGCGCCGCATTAAGCATTCAAACGGCGTTCACTGCCTATTAACCGCAGCCCGTTGTCGAGAGAGAAGAGATCTACCGCCGCCGTTGTCGGTGTTCCCTTCATTCTTCTTCTTCTTTTGTTACTATGAATTGAAACATAGTATGACTCTTTCAACTTTCTTACTTACCCTCTTCTTTTCCCAACTTATTTCGTGCTTCTAGTTTCCTTTTCACAAATCGAGGAGAAGTCATCGTTGATGCAATTTTGACTTTTTTCCCCTTCCTTTCATTCCTTTATTAATTACGTTTCATCTCACAAGATCTTTGCTCTCTTCTTCATTTTCTCGCTCGTTACCAGAGTTTTTGCGCGATCTCTCTTTCCGTCATTCTCTGGATGCTGGACCCCCAGTTATCTTTTCCCCCTCCCTCCCGCCCCTCCACTTATCAGCTTTCCCCTCCATCCGCGACGTCATCGCCAGTCACCGTGCTGCTATTTTTTCCTCTCCCTCGTTGCGAGTCAATTTACCAATTGAAATCAGTGTCGGTCGCGGCACTGAATGGTCCGCCAACCGACGACGAATGATGATCCTACTCTCTTCCCTCGCTACCGCTCTCTTTTGCGGTCCTCGCACCTCCCTCACCGTTATCAAACTATTCACCGAGCCGGTGAGGCTCTCGTTCGAGTCCCGCGACGAGATTGCGCGCTCTCATACGATCTCATAATGCAACTAATCTTGCAACGCGATGAGCTGTCGATGATGAACTGAAACGAAAAAGCGGAAGTTAGATTGAAGCATTTGCTTCAGAAATTAAACTTAGATAATTATAGAGTTTTTCTTAAAAAAGAAACATCTCTTCATGAAAATCAAAGGAAAATTCGAAAAATTGAAATGCCGCCAACTGTATATCGCTGAGTGCACTCGTACCACGTGACAAGTAGCGCACCGAGGTGAATTTTTTCGATCATCGCCTTCGGCGCAACTACTTAACGCGTAGATGAGCCAATCTCTGCAGAATATATGTTTTCGTTTGAATTCCCTCGATTGACTACTTTTATCGGATGTACATCGATCTCTTTACAATTACGAGATTAACAGACGTGAAAGGGATAGTTAGATTTGTGAACGCAGCAACGAGCGTGCGCACTTTTCACCCATTGTTACGGTCACAAACCGAAATATCACTAAGTTGTAATTTCCTTTATATTGCAAAGTTATGATCGCCTCTCCAAAATCTGAAACAAAACTGTAATAAGTGGATAAACAGATAATTAATATGTTTAGTAAAGAAATCGTCGGGGCTGTAATTGTTTTTAAATAGGAGACGTTCAAGAGCGATTTATCAGACTAACGAGGGGAAAAAGTATTAAGAAGACGTAGGGTAGTTGAAAAATAAAGTTTGACAATGGTATTCACAAGTTTACTATTCGTCCTTAAAATAAAAATCATGCAGGGAGAAACAAAAGCTGCGCCCTTATTGCTGAATACTTTAGGGCGATCTCTATGATGCTCGTCGAGTATCGCGGCATTCCCATGCGGGTCTATTTTACCGAAATGAAACGAAATTGGCGCACAATGGCGATTCTTTTCCTTTCTTCCTTATTTTTCATGCATTGTCTCTCGCAAAATGCGGTATTTGCATCTTCGAAATACAAGCTTCAAATACAAGCCTTTCCTTGAATAATAATTGATAAATTAATACACTTACGTTATTTTGTGAGGCTCCCGACGAAAGCGAGATTAATTAATATCGTCAAGATTCATTTAAAAACATTTTCACTCTCTGAGAAATATTATATATTTCGCGCGTATACAATTTACAGTTGTCGTGCAAGTACAATGCAAGCTCCAACGTTATTAACCGTATTGTTCTCCACTTGAAATCCACCCGCAGCGTATTGTTAAAATAATTACAGACTTATCCTGGACGCGCGACGTATGAATGCTTCACATTACTAACGATTCTCTTCGACACGTCATCGTATCTATGTGGCACAACGGTTTCAAGTGGAATGCCAGGGGAAATTGCCGACGAAGTTACGCATGCACAGGTGTTTCTGGGATATCACGTGTGTCGACCACATGTGTGTCTGCTACGCTTCGTCTGCTCGTCTTCGATATCGCCTTTTTGTTCGTCAGATCTCCACCGTGCATATATATTGAGTTGCTGCCGGGTTTCTCGCGCATCTTCGTGTACAATGTTTCGCTAGCGTATCTCGAGCTTTTATTAATTTTACCATCGTCGTTTTACAGAACAGAATGCTTTTGCATGAGTCAGATATTTAATTGTATGAGATTACAGCGAAATTTCTGCAACAATTTAGCAGATTTCTCATTCTTCTTAGAATGTGATTATTTTATTGATGTATGAGGGAATCGAGGATGTATTAAAAAAAAAAAGATTATGTTTTTAGGGAAACTCGGGACGGAGAAAATACTCGGTAGAGCACAGCGAGCGACGAGTGATTCCGAGAGGAGTCGATTAAATTGGGTAGAATGCGCTGCGTGGGCCCGTACGCCGGATACTCGCCGAATGAATCTCATCCCGAGAGAGGAAGTTCAAATTAAGTCGAGCGAGCCACTGTCAAACGGCTATGAGTTTTCTATCTTTCTCGCTCTCGTGTAAACTTGCATTCATTCCATTGCAATCCTTCCCCTCTTCCCTCGTTTTTGTCGCCTTTCAGCATCAATCAATAGCATTTCTCAACAAATTGGAATATGTACTACCGCTGCAGTCATAATAAAATTTTCTGTAGTTTTTTTTAATTTTTCGTTAAGAGTTAAATAAGTAAATAGGATAAACAGAGTGAATTGAAATCTGCAATGGATAAAAAGAGATAATTAGATGATGTGTATAGAGATAAATTGAATAAAGCGAGCTCGACGAAAAAGTTCGAAAGTGCAGAATATGTGGCGAAGAATTAAGACTTATTAAAATCGTTTGACCCTGCCTCTTACGTCGCACTAAACCTAATATGGCTTTATACTTCGAGCGAGATAGATAGGTGGTAACTACCGGAGGAGAGAACGAGACGATGGACGACGGTGGAGGAGGACGAAAAAGGAGGGACCGTAGCGTGTGAAATCGAGAGTCTCTTATTGCGGTAATTTGAAGCAGACCGACGGTGAATAACAATTTTCATCGCAAACGGAAAAAATCTAAGTAAAATGAAAAATTAAAAAAAAGTTAAAGTAGAAAGCGAAATAAATAAGATAGACACAAAAAAGTTAACGAATACAGAAATAGTAAAAAAGAAACAAGTAGAAATGTGTGTGAAGAACAAAAATAGAAATATAAAAATCAAATTACGAATAGGACCAATTTTCGTGCGTCATACCGGTTTATTTTATTGCATAAAAGATTTGTCTTATTTATAACAAGTAGCAGTTAATTTTGCGCTGCTCATAATAATTAAATATCAGTTTGAAAGTTAAATATTTATTAGAACAATTAAACATTACTTATAA